AGATTTGTGACAGCCCACATGATGCAGGATCCACTTTGAGGCGGGTCCTAAATTCAGGTGTTGGATTTCTTAGACATGGATGTGTCCAAACATAGGGACCCCCAAAACATTGTCGGTTGCCCTTTGGACTCCCTTTGGACGCTGTCCCAAATATGAGACAAACCACATACCCAAATGATTGCTTTTGTGAGCTTTTACAACCAAGCTGAAAGAAGGGCGCCCTCAAAATGACGAACCCCTCAGCGTATCAAAGAAAAGGTACTGTCAAAAGAGGCGTGTACACACGCACACACGCACACACACACTCACCCGCGTGCGCACACACATGTCGGCTGCTGGGTCTGCTTCCCTGCACCCTACTGGGGGGAGGGACTTTGGCAGAATAACTGATAAGGTCAGTTGCAGGGGTGGGGAGCCTGACTGGGGCCTTTGGTGAAGCCGTTTCGGGAGGCCATGCAGATCGCTTGGCCCCGGTTAACGCGCTTCACGCAGCGAAGCGACGGCAACGCCAGAGGCCTACCCGGCCATCACCGGACCCGCGGGGCTACTCTCTCAAGACTCCAACAGCTTTGAGGGTCCAAGTGGTTGAAGTACAGACGAAAAACAGCTGGATTGTGCATGAGTGTGCCAACTTTGACCATTTTTTCACCAACTATAGAACAGTGGGGTATGTCCTTTCAAGCCTTTGCGCCATGGAAATGCTTGGTTGGGGACTCTGTTGCTCCGTCCGTTCGGCCGAACTGCCGGGTTGCTGCAGCAGTTTGAACAACGGTTTCTTTTGTCCTCCTTTGATGCCCTTTGGCTTCCTTCAAACAGGCAATGTTCCAACTCTGCACTGCCAAGGACTTCCAACCGTCACTTACCCTTTCCAGACAACCACCCACAACTCAGAACTCAGGGAAAGCGACCAATCTTCGAAGATGGTGATGGTTAGAAATGAATGAAAAGGGATCAACCCCTAGACCTACAGCTGATTCATCCGTAGTTCAACTCGCCGGTCCGGAACGGTATTCCTGTGGAGCCATCAAGCAATTGAGCATTGCGCAGCTGTCCGGTGGGTTCCAAGTGAATATTGTAAGCTAGCCAACATCCAACCTTCGCATTCTTGATTGTTGAAAAAGGACGGGAATTGACTGCAGAAAATGACTATTTATTTTGCCACAAAGAAGCGAGTAAACCAGCAGAAGGTGGCACTTTTGCGGTACAGCAATGAGTAAACGAGCTGAAGATGCATGTTTCACCAGAAAGCAACGAGCAAGCAAGCAGAGGCCCCGAAGCACTCAACCAGTGGCAATTGCCGAGGCCTCGACCTTTCTCCTTTGCCTACAGTCCTCGCAGTGGCTGCCGCCGGACGACTTGGATGCGGAGGATGCCTCTTTCACATCTCTTATAATCATCACTGATTCCACGAAATCGGGCTGGTTCTGTGGTGTTCTCCCTTTCTGTCAACATAAGACAAAAGGGCCAAGCCTCATAAGGCTCCCTATAGAGATCCTTATAAAGCTCCTTGTAGGGCTCCGTACAAGGCCCCTTGCAGGGCTAGTTATAAAGATTCTTATAAAGCTCCTGTTGCAGGCTCCGGGGGAGGGAGGAACAGAGAGAGAGAGAGAGAGAAAGAGAGGGAGAGAGAGCGAGAGAGAGAGAGAGAGAGACAGACAGAGAGACAGCATCGAGATCGGTCTGAGAGCAACTAAGTGTGGACACCGAGCACGAGGGATCAACACAGCAACGTGTGTAGGCTGGGAAATGCGCTAGCAAAATTTAAGCGTGGCGTAGACCCAAGTTGATGCCACTGGATGCGTGGACATAATTACTTATGAAGACAAACGTTACAACCATGTAGTGTCATGTGTCACCTACGCATGTAAAAAGCGTTGTTTTTCAATGTGTAGAGTAGATGAAGCATCGTCCCCCAGAAAATAATATCTTATGACTTATACCGCTGAGGGCGTGATTGTTTCTCAACATATTAGGCAACCATATCGCTTATGAATACATCTCACGGGTATATTGTTCAAGAGCTCCATGTTTGTAGTATTGCACAGCTGGGACACCAAGTGTGTTGCTTGGAAAGACCCCAAACTGGAACAGCTTTGCTTCCCGGACCAGAGCGATCTCGCCGGCTTTGGGCAGGGATCTGAATGCCCTGACGGACCAAAAACCACTGCGCACCCGTCGGAGCGCCCGACCTCAGTGGCTTCAAACCCTCGAAACTTCCAGCTTTTTGCCGCCTTCTGGCCCGCCCAAAACGAATCTATCATCCATGTATGTCTCACAAATAGTGGGACCCAAGCGCTTCAGTGGGAAGGTCCTTTATTGGTCCCTGCCAAGCATAAGGCAGCCCTGATTTCTGGATATTGCCCAGAGTTTGTGCAAAACCCTGCTGAGCACAGCGCACCCACTTCCCTCCTGCACCCTTCCCTACATCCCTCCTCGCGCTCGGCTCAACACGCCGTGTAGGACCTGCCGCTGCGGCGACCGGGGGAGCTGGTGAGCGGCACTGCGGAGGTGCGCAGCGTCTTTCCGGACGCGCAGCTGCTGCGGGGACGGCTCACCCGGCTCTCAGGCGAGGCCTCAAAAAACGGTGGGTTGGTGGGGGGAAGAGGGGTCCCTTGTATGATGTCGTGTCGCCAAATAGAGGACCTCCGGTAGAAAGTCATTGGAATTTTGTATCGTGTGTGAGTGTGCTACATATGCATATATGATATATATATATATATATAGATAGATAGATAGATAGATATAGATATATATATATATATGGTACAGCGTTGCCAGCCCCCCCCCGCCTCCCCCCCCAATGGTCATGGGTCAGGCAAGTACCCCCCCCCCCCTCAAGTACCCCCCCCCCTGTGGTTGTGGTCCTGTGGTTGGGTTGTGGTGGTTTAGGGTTGGTTTAGAATTGGTTTAGGGTATATTTAGGGTGTATTTAGGGTTAGTTTAGGGTTGGTTCAGGGTTGATTTAGGTTGATTTATGTTGATTTAGGGTTGGTTTAGGTTCAGAGGTGTACGGTCGGTTTAGGGTTTGGTTTAGGGTGTATTTAGGGTTGGTTTACGGTTAGTTTAGGGTTGGTTTAGGTTTAGGGTTTATTGGGGTTAGTTTAGGGTTGGTTTAGGGTTAGTTTAGGGTTGGCTTATGTTGATTTAGGGTTGGTTTAGGTTTAGAGGTCTACGGTTTAGGGTTTGGTTTAGGGTGTATTTAGGGTTGGTTTAGGGTTTGTTTAGGGTTGGTTTATGGTTGGTTGCGGGTTGGCTTGTGCTGGGGGTGGGGGTGCCGGGGTGTCGGGGTGCGAGTTCAGGGGTCGGGGTGGGGGTGGGACCGTAGGTGCCAGGATCCGGGGGCTTGGGGTCTCGGGCCGTCGGGCCGGGGGGGGGGGTCCTGGGGGACCATACCATATGGGGGGGGGGGGGGGGGTAGCAACACGGAACACGGGACCATATATATATATATATGATATATACATCTAACGGTACACATGTACGCATATGCCGTCTATATGTGCCACAGACGTATGTGTTGGGTAGCCGAACGACAGACAACTCCGGGAACTCCGCGAGGCACCTTCGCAGAGGCCCTGGGCGTGGCCACGCGGCCCTCGCTGGAGCTGGCCTTCAAGGCTCTCGGTGTCGCGTTTGACTCGGCAGGTGACTCGGGTTAAGACGAGGCAGGAGCTCAACCAAAGTAGAAACCGGGAGCCGGGTAAAGTCCCAGGCCTCCACTTTGGGTAAAGTAAAAACGAAAAGTGGCGACTTGATGAAAGCAAGGGTGGAGGGTTCAGTGCAAAGTCAGGGTTCGGTTTGGAGGGTTGGGAAATCTTTGCGTGGGTGACATCTTTGAAGGCCCGCTGAGTCCCCGGTCCCAGGCCCGCCAGAGGTCTTGTAATTACACGACTGCCATGAACAAACAAGTTCCACTTTGGGTGGCTCTCAAGCCTACTTCAAGATTGGTACATGTCTGTCTATGTCCTGCTTGTGCAAGATACCAACTACGAACATCGCCCTAACAAGGGCCATTTGCCTGTCAGGTGCGGGCGGGTATGTGGGTGTGAAGGTTTTTCTGAAGGTGCTCTTTTAAGGTTAAAGCGAAATCGAAATCACAACCACCATTTGAAAAGTCATTGGCGGACATGAATCCCCACGAAAATATGTTGGAGTTCAGACCCGTACTGGCCCCTATTGGTCCCGACTACCCCAATCCACATACAAATCCCACAAGGGGTCTGTCAGCTCTCCTACTCCATTCTGGTCAACGATCATTCTGATGGTTTTCTAAAAAGAAGGATCCCTGAAAAGAATTGAAATGGAAGTGTCCCCTAGAATGGTGCGACAGGTGCTTCAGTCCTTTGGGAGCTGCAGCCCGGTGGCCCCAGAGAGCGCGGCGGCGGTGTACAGCTTCCTGGAGGAGCAAGGCGAGCTGAGGGATGGGGGGTCTCCAAAGGTTATCCGGACCCTTTTTGTGGCCACTCTTCAAGGGAAAACGAAAGGAACTGGGTCGCCTATACCTTGTTAGGGGTGTTTGGGTGTGTTCTGAAGGGTACAGTACCCTTTTTGTTGTCGGACTCAAGGCAGGCCAAAAGGAAAGCCACTATTTGGGGATTTCAAATCTTCAAAACATATTGTGTTCCCTGGGCGGAGGGAGCAAAAAGGAAACCACGGGAGGCTTATGAGGTGTCTCTTTTGATCGCTTGCTTCGGAATTTTAAGATTGAGAATGCCCTTTGGCCCCCATTGAACCGTAAAATCAACTCGGAGCTCAAAGGTGAAGCTGTTTTGCAATTTGGTTCACTAAATATAAACCAGTCTCAACGAACTCTTGTTGTCTGCCGTTGGATCAATTGCCCAAACTTTGTCGACCTTTTCAGGTCAGGGTGCGTCCGAAAGCTGGTCCCTTTCTTATTTATTGGGCTTGATTCTGCGCAGATTTGTTGCTGGTTTACGACCGATTCCAAGCCAGGTTCCATTCTTGGAGGTCCATTTCTTGGTTTGTGAGTGATGTTTACCATCCAGCCCATGTGTGTTACATCAACTTACATCAACCGGTTGCCAATTGGGTGCCCTCTAGGCGCAGACCTGGAGGCGCTGCGGCACAGCGCGAGCGGGCCCCGGTTTCCGAGCAGCCCGGGGTGTTTTCCGGGTCGATGGCCAAAATCCCCACAAAACGCGTCTGGGATGGACAACAACCTGGCTGGTAGTAGCCATGGTTATAGGGAAGGCCACACATGCTACCCCAACAGTTAATCGTTACAAGATTGACTTAGGGTGAACATCCGATCATGAGATTTGAAACAATCTGCACACCGCGGTGTGCCAGTGTCGGACCAGGCCCAAAGTACCTTCCCAAAAAAAGACGAAGGCTTCTGTTGAGTTGTCATGTGCGTTCCCATTCGGCTTTCGGTCGGCCCAGGTGTGTGGTGGTGGCTTCCAAGGCTCCAGCGGAGCTGCCCTGCGACGTAGTTTGGGAGGACTCAACCGGACACTTGCCAAGCGGGCGGCATGAATGGCTCAAAAGAAATACGGGGATGTTGTCGAACAGCGTGTTGTGTTTTCAGGAGGCCTGCTTGTTTGACGCTGGAGCCTCGCAACGCTCCTCTCCATGAGCAAGGGGTCCTGATGCTTCCCCTTTTGGCCAGCTGAAACATTTGTAGGTGCATCTCATGTCGAGTGAAAACAAGGAGCCCGCAAGCATGGAGCGCATGCGTTGTGGAAACAAGCTGTCGGTGTTTTGGATGTTTCCAAGCGGCCTGTTCGAGGCTAGAGTGGTCCTTTGCTTGGATCTTTCAAGTGTCTTTGAACTGGAGCTAGGCAACAGCTTGGTGGTGTTGTTCCTGCTAACAGTCGAGCTTCGGTCAGAGGAAGCTGGGGCCACACAGCTGGAGCGGATGGTAGTAAGATAGTTTGAAGGCGCTTGAATAGACAGCTAGCTGCGATAATCCACTTGGAAGCCCAACTCCCTTCGGCTACAAAGAGATCTCGCAGCATCCCTAGACTGAACGCACCTTTGACAGTGTTTCGACAAAAATGCATCTCAACGCCAAAAAACGCTGTTTGCCATTTGCGCGCGGGGTTCTAATATCTGCCTAAGTGGGAATTAGGTGAAGGGCCTGTGTTTCTAGCTTGGTAGAGCCAAAAGTCAACTGCTGTTGGGTCCTGCTTTGTAGCTCGGATTGCCCTTTTGGATGGGTACTCTCCTGCAAGTCCACATGGAACCCAAAAAACGGTCCTGTGAGGGAGATTCCTTTGAGTTTTGCAGTTTGTTGGGTTTCATGTTGTGTGTTTCAATGCAGCCAAGTGCGATGTCGTAGGTCCGCTGTCCGATCGCACAAACAAACGAAGACGGGTGGAGTTGGCTGGTTCCATGTCATTTGGCGGGGTGCAATATGAGGTGCTAAATGATGATTGGTTTGCTGGTACACCGCAAGACCATGTTGCCCTCCTGTGTTGCGGTAGGGTTCCTTTTAAAGGAAAGTAATCTTGCACCCCTCAATATGGTTGCGTGTTGGACAGGAGAGTAGTTGCTTAGGTGCTTTGGTCGCTAGGACGCCCATGGCGCCTGCGCACTGCCAACTCTGCAGCGGCTCTACAGCGCTCCTCGGACGGAGTGCCGACATGGGCTTTGTGTTTTTTGGGGGGCATCATGTTTTCACGTAGAGTTCCTGGAAGACAATTTTCTGTTTTGGGACCCCTAACCACCGAACCACCAATCCAAGCCAGCGATTGGAGGGAAGCTGATGTTTGTCAGAGCCACCTTAAGCAAAGAGTATACTGTATACTATTCTGGAATCTTCTGGGGGTCCTCGTTTGGCTGAAATCCAAGGAAAACCAAAAAAAGACACCCATCTTTGGGTCACAGCGAGGCCTTCGATCTTTCGGTGGTCCATGAGTTTGAGACAAACAAAATAATGTGCTGTGGTCAAGACACCCATTTCTTGGGATTGGGGTGGTCATGAGTTTCTGAGGGAATTGGCGCAAACGTTGTCAGGCATCCTATTGATCAAAAACTTCCTCTTGGCCCCCTTCCATAAAGTGGTGCAAATTGTAATGCAAGACCTGCCACGACCGCAAAAGTGTGTGCTAGCATACGGACCTAGAATTCAAGGGGGCTTTAGCCTGCACCGAGGGGAGAGGAAGCACAGAATCTGTTGCCTTCCAAAAGTGAAAATGCGACTTCTGAGGTGGGACTCGGCGTCCATGCCATGTCCGATGATCTATGGCTGATGCACATAGGTGTGTGTGTGTGTGTGTGTCAAAATAGGGGGCCCTTCAATTGCTTGGTTTTCCTGCGGTTTTCCTTGAAAGCCCCAAGAGGTGGTTCCTCCCGTGGCGGGAGTTGCTAAAAAAACGGGTTGCGGACCTACTTTTGGTTGGTGTTTAAAGGGGCGCCAACACGAAGCACCATTTAGGGACCCCAAAGTCCACGTGTTGGCCAAGATGAGGATCCCGCTTCGGCGCTTCGGGCACAGGCTCGATGGCGGCACTTCTTCGTCAAGGGCCTGGGGGTGCCGGAGTCGCCAACGCCGGACCAGGCGCCAAACTTATTCGAGCCTGGGAAGCCCAAACAGGTTGAAGAGAGAGATGTCCGAATGCCTTGGTGCAATTCCCTTTCACAGGGAATTGAGCCATCCACTTAGTTCAGTTGAACAAATCAAGGCTTTGGAATTCGGTCGGATGCAGCCAAGCCGGTCCCCAGGCAGATGTGTGTGTATATATATATATATGTGCCTGTGTGTTCGAGCCGCGGGAGAATTCACGTCAAGACCAGCACGCGCTTGTTCACAGGAATACCTTTGCATGAATGATCGCACAGAAATGGGGTCTGGTGTTTTGTGAGCCTTGAAGGTGCAGTGGCCTTTAGAACGGGAGCCCCAAACTGGTGGCGCTCCTGTTGGTTTCCCTTGAAACCAACCTGAGAAGGTTGCCCTTAACAACACACGCCAATGGTGCTGTTTTGGAAAAGGCAAGCAAGCAGCACGGTGATGGACAATTTAATAGACAACTGGCAGCTTTCAGTTTTCAGGCTGAAGGCCGTTTGAGTTTGTGTTTAAATTGGGGTGTCATCTACAAAATGTCTCGTTTCCCGTGAAATGTCCTTTGCCGCCATGCAAATCTTCACGGGAAGGCGATTTGACCTTCAGTTTAGGGGAGCCAAAGTTCAAAGAGGTTCGCCAGGTATCCTCAGACCTGATGTTCACATGGGTGAGTCGTGCAAATTTGCTGGGAGTCAGGGCCACCTGAACATTTTCCTGGCTTTCAGATGACTGAGCTGTCTTTTGGGCCCATAAACCAAAAAGGTAGACGAGGAGATCAACAACGGATCTGCCGCTCCTCCGCTCCTTAACCCCCACTGTAGGTGGGCGTGTTCTTTTTGTTGAGCCTTCTCAGTGTTGTTTCAACGGGAAACCAAAAGGAAGCCGAAGCCATGTGTCAGCTCCGATTCCTAGGTGCTGCGGCGGATCGACCAGCTGTCGGTGGCGGGCGATGCGGCAAAGCTGTGGCCTTGCTTGCTGCTGGTGGCCGAAAAGCTCGAGGAGGAGGCGAAAGGGGACGGGAGGGGTGCAGAGAGGGGGGGGGGGCAGGCGGGGTGGTTGGCTTTCTGAAGTGGTAGAAAAAGGGGTTCTGAGAATCGGGTCTTCAAATGACTTGGGGCCCATTTCCATTACCACCATCGAGAGGGTGATGTTGGGGTCACTTTAATGGAATGGGCGAGGGAAGCGTGGGGTCGGTTTCGGTGGTTTTAAACCAGCTTCTTTGGGCTAGTGGTTGTGGGAGATGTTGCTTCCACCTTCTTTTCAGGACTTTGCTTGGGGTTATTGGCTGCAAAATAGACACCAGACTGCATGCAGTGGGAGGGCCATGGCCACAGGGGACGAAGACTTGCCTGCGATGGGGATGGTGACCGAAAGGGGTCTACAAAATGAGCTCTCCACTTTCCATGGAAGTCTTCAATGGCGGATGGAAACCCAGCGAAGTATTTGAACAAGCTGGGCACAAAACATGTGTAAAGCTGTTGCATCTCGACCAAAAGCTGCGGATGAGTCTGCACGTTTGCAAGCTCCCCAATCGGAGGCAAACCAAGCGATTCTACGGCCTATGAAGAATTCTCCGAGGGATTCCTTGCATTTTGGTCAATCATAGCAAGTTCCAAGATGTTGAAACCAGTTTTTGTTTGTTCAACCCGTCTTGCAAAAAAGAATCGCTTCATTCAGCCCAGCCGATCCCAGTAACTACTAGCAGGCCATGTTCCTTTTAGTTGTTGAAGGGTGGTTCCGTTGGTTACCTATACAGGTAAATGGAATCACTGGGCAAGAGTCTTTGTACGATTGGTACCTTAAATGTTACAAGTGAACCAACCACATCCATCCAGACACACCCTGTAAGGCTAAGGGGAAGTCACAGGCTTCCCTGTCCCCTACTTGCAATATGTGTGTGTGTGTTGTGTTTCTACTTGTACTTCCCGAAAGCATTGCGAAGGGTTCTTCCGGTAAAGTCGTTCTGCACAGCTCAACTGTATAGGGAAAGTAGACAGTGCAATGCATAAAGACATGCATAGGGAAAGTGCACAGTGAAATGCGTAGGGCAAGCGCAGAGTGAAGTACATAGATGCATGCACAGGGAAAGTAGACAGTGAAATGCATAGAGGCATGCGTAGGGCAAGCGCAGAGTGAAGTACATAGATGCATGCACAGGGAAAGTAGACAGTGAAATGCATAGCGGCACGCATAGGGCAAGCACAGAGTGAAGTGCATAGAGGCATGCGCAGAGTAGACAGTGAAATGCATAGTTGGAAAAAATGGAACGATTCAGGCTGCGCGTCATGGAAAATGCTTTCGGGCCACCCTTGTATTTGTGTTTTTTGTGTGTGTGTTTGTGACGGCGCCCTTTTCAAGGTCCTTCATGGGGCACCAAAGGAAGCCAAAGTGGGGTCCAAATCCCTTTGACACACCTCCTTCAACCGAAGTTGAAGTCGCAGGCCTGGAGGACCTTAGCGCAGCAGCTGCGGAGTCGCCAGTGCCTGCCGCTGCAGCGCGGGGGTCTAAAAGCGCCTTCCGAAGGCGCGAAAGCGGCTTTGCGCTTTTGCACCTTCCGCGCCGCGAAATGCGGTTTGGGATGTTTGGGTTTGGATTCCCTTTGGGTGGCTTTCGGGCAAAGGGAGTGGGGGTTGGGGGTTTGGGCTGGGAAGTTGGCTGTTGTCATTTACCAGTGCAATCCTTGTAGGCTTGGTTAAAACCTACATGGCAGGGATGTCAGTTTGGTTCTAATCAATACCAGTGCCATCTATGTTGTAAAAGGACACCTAGGGTTGGGTCGCGTGTTGGTGTTGTGTTCTTCTTCGGTTTCGGCTGTTTCTCTTGCCGGTCACTTGGTTGGGCATTGGTAGGCTCTGACTTGGCTTGGGCTGGCTCTTATACCGGACATTGCGCGCTTCTCTTCCTTATTGGTCTGCTTGCCTGGTCCACTCTTTGATCACCTTCTGCGCATGGAGGGGTCAGTCACTGCCGGACTTGGCCGACAACATCAAAATTCGTGGCATTTTGGGGCACGGCTCGGTCATGTTTGCTTGTAGTCTGTGGTCCATTTGGAAGGGACTTGAGGGACTCACTAGATAAATCTCCGGGAGGAACGCGAATTGTCCCGTGTCCTTGGGGAAGCAGGTAGTTTTGACCCCGGCTAATGAGACAAGTTGGGTGCGAGGCTTTGTTGATTGGCTGATCTGTCGATTCCCTTGTCGCAAGTTGTTTGGTCCATCGGCAGAGAACAACATTAATCTTTCAACCCATGTGTTTCCTGTCAGATTCATTTGGTGCAACTACAGGAAGTTTGTGTTTGTTTGATTCTATTCATTTACTGTGCCAACTATGGTTCCAAAAGGACACGCTTCAAAGAAACCACAAAATGCCTTCTCTTTACTAGAAAGAAAGCACGTAAGCCCACAGTGTGTCAAAGCAAACAACAGAGCATCAGTCGTAACTCTTTGCAACGAGGTGCATCTTTTGGAGGGTATCGTGTTTGGGTTGGAAGCCACTCATTTGGAGGGTTTCCCTCTTCAGAGAGAAACCCAGCACATTTCCAGAGAGCATGGGAATGCATAACCATGCGCAGCCCTCTGGAAATTGCAGCTCAAGTTTCGGCTTTCGGCGCCGGCTTCTCAACACTGTCCTCTCTTGTCGCCTCATCGCCCCAAAACCGGTGTGTAGCCCTAGCAAAACCCACCTTGAACATGAACATGGGCATGGGAAATTTGTCTTGTCATACCAAGGGAACTCCTAAGAAATAAAGATGAAGTAGTCATGACTGGATGGGAATCAGCCACTTTGGCATCACAACGGTGACTTTCCACAGCCATACCCTTGAACCTCCTCGAACCAATCAAAGCTTGAACATGCCACTCGGAGCCTGAACAATTAAGGCCATTTGGAGCCGTTAATTTTGCGCAAGTCCGTCCGACGGAGAGGCAACCAAACTGGTAGGAAGGTGTCGTTGAATGGCAAATATTTGTCCTGCAATCAGATTCAGGTACGGATACACAGAAGTGGTCCTAAGCTGTTCCAAGCCTCGCATCCCCAAAAGTCTAGGACCCGGATCAGACATTGCAGTTGGTCAGAGTGCCTCAAAGGATGCATGGGTCGCTCAACAACCGTACCACCTGATCAGCATACTTTGGATGTATCCTGAGTTCCTCTTAAATGATGGCTTACTAGGTTGCATATGGGTTTGTCCCAGAATTACGGGACTTCGAAAAGAGGAACTGCCAGCAAGAAGGGGTCCGCCATTAGCAGCCCCCATATGGTTGAAGAGACCCTTTGGTGGACATCATTTGGGGATTCAAATCCACCCACTGTTGAGGTGGTAGTGTTCATAAATTCATGGCTATATGGGGAGGAGGAAAAACTGGCCTCATTATTTTACTATGATCAAAGTCACCCCCTAAGTTATGGGTTAAAGGGAAACAACCCCATCTTCTGACTTTGATAGCCCCTAGAAAGCGTCAAAATAATGACCCCAGAAAAAAAGAAAGACCACTCAAATGCCAGGCGTTTTCTTGGAGGATGGGGACCTGCCCAAGCAGCTCCTGGCCAAGCTGAGAGACAGCCTCAGCCTGGCGGCCGAGCCGCCGCCGACACCGGCGGCGCAGCCCCTTGCAGGAAATCAGCTCCCCGCTTCGCGGGATGGTGTCTGTGTGTGTGTGTGTGTTTTTTTTTTTTTTTTTTAAGGGGGGGTGTCCGTTTTGGTTGGTGTTGCATCTTTTTTGGGGGGGAGGGGGGGCCGACATTTGAGACAACCTGTGGGCCCAGTCCTCAAACACCCAGATAAATGAAGGTTGGAAAACAATGCCAAACAGCAACAGGTGCGGATATCCGTCCTTTAGATTATTTACACGGTTTTAGGTAGACCGTTTCTTTGCCAGGTGTTTTATTCGGACTCACATGGGGCTTCTCTCACTTTGTGGAGTACATCAGCTTGAGAGGAATATCAACTTCTGAAACGGACTCCCTTGAGCTCAAAATGAGATTCGCACGGCAACCGCAATCCTTTCCAGGCAGTTGAGCACGCAGGAGGTGCCTAACCCTTCTACGGATGGTGTTGCTCAATTGTTTAATTGGCGAACAAAGTTAAGCCCAGCCAGCCAGCGCGATTCAAGACACCGAAGCTGGAATGGACCTTTGCCATCCTTTGCCTTTTCAACTCCAAGCTATGGCCCGTTGAACTCCCCGATGGCAATACCAAGTTCCTTCCAAGAAGTTCAAGTATAAAGCTTGTCACAGTTCTTTGTTGATGTTCCTTGCACCCTCGTGTCAAATGCAAGCCGCCCAAGTACTGGGTTGTCTCGAAATACTGGAAGCCCTAAGGTGGTTTCCCTTTCCACCCGACCAGCAGTGGTACCCCTAAAAACAAAAATAGAAGAAGAAAAACACGTTAGATGGCCAGGTGTAAAGGCTGAGTTCCCCTTCTTACTCCCACCGTTTTGTGGTTCGCCTTTGTTTCAGCAATTCCTGAAAAGAAGGATCCCTGCAGACAATGGGCTACACTAGAATAGGGACCAGCCTTCGCTGAATATGTCTCCTGAGTACTGGAGTCTTCTCGGATAGTGATGTTCAAAACGAACAGGATGAAGAGAACGATTGACCCGAGGACAATCGTAATAAATCCATCATGGTATTCAGCTTTTCATGTCTTTGTTCTTGTTGATTATATCTATATCCACATGGAAACTGATTGGGGGTCCCTGGAAGACCATTTCCCTCTACCTTATTGTCCATTCCATTAGTGGAACGGAGGTACACACATGAATGTTGATAGATATAACCCAGTGCTTCCGGCTATAGCGGAAGCTATCCCAAGGTAGAATCTAGATGTAAGAATCCCTTACCTACAGTGACTTGCCTGGGAGCACTGGGTACTGACACGGAGTTCTCTCCACTCGCCTCCTTTCTGTTCCCACGTCCCAGGCACTGGCCGAAGATGTTGGAAGCCCTGGGTTTGCGCGGCCTTAGCTCCGCCGTGAGTCCTGGGGGTCTGGTGGTCGGGTTTGGGGGGACGGGAGGTGCAAACCGGGTTGGACATAGCCACCTGACACGATGGTGCTTCCAATCTCGCTGGTTTCCATTTGGCTTCCCAATTCAAAAACAGCGCTGCCCTCTCCCTTTTCCGATTTGATTCTCAGCACCTGCTGAAGGTCCGGTGATCTTTCCCAAATCGGCCAAAATATGATCCAACTCACTACGGATATTCCCGCGGGCTGCGAACGACTGAAGCCTTGATCTTGGGACATGTTCCTGAGATGTGCTTTGAAACACACAAGGCCGCACTACGACGAGAAACTCTAGCTACCAGGTGGGGTTCATGTATATATGTTCCTGAGATGTGCTTTGAAACACACAAGGCCGCACTACGACGAGAAACTCGAAGGGAAGTAAACCCACATCCCACATAATCAGGCAGTGATGCCACAAATTTAAGCCGCCCGACGGACAAATCGCCTGACACTCAGGGATTATGAATACGTGCATATATACATGAACCCCACCTGGTAGCTATGGCCTTAGCTGTTTGTTGGTGAGGAGATGCTTCTACAGCTACGCTCGACTGGACCATGCGTTTGTCCGCGTTCAATTTGCAAACGGGAAGCAAGGGTCACGAGGAAAAGCATTGAACATCCCTGTACTACCCTTTTTGGGGTGGTTGAACCATCGCCGATGTTGATTGAGTCTCCATTCGCTGTTTAACGGAGCACTAGCGGCGCTAGGCTGCCTCCTCGGCGCACGTTGAACTGGCCATGCACTTCAATAGGGAACCTCAAAAGTGGTTGGCGGGCATAAAATCCCCATCACGTCCAAACAATCCCCGAATCGTCGCCCAAGTCGCCGAGGTCAGCCGCATCACTGTGCAGTTTGCGGGGGAGGCCAAGGGAGCCATGGCCAGAGCCTCAGAGAGGCGAATGGCTTCCCTCGGAAGCAAAAGGTTTGGTGCTTGCAGGTAGCGAAGCGCGAGCATGACTTCATGTTACTTCATGCTCGCACGATGGTTGATTAGCAACGCTGCCGGGAATGCGAGGGATGAGCATTTCTACCTCCAAGATTGCGGAATCGTGGTCATGACCAGGGCCGGCGGCAAAATGATATTGGATCCCTCAAAATTTGCGTTCCAGCAAGGATTGGACATGTATATCACCAGCTCGGAGCCGATTCTCACTTGTTGTGGCCCAGATGAAGGCACGGATGCCATAAACATTGCAAGCAGGTGAGAATAAGTTGGAATCGCCGCAGTTTTGGATACTCGGTTGGCCTGCTTTATTGAGTTATAATACACTGGACAGCTGAGTAAATGCTCGATGGTTTGCCTCGAGCCGATTGCTTGAGAGTGCCATGATCCCATTGAAGTGCGTATATGCGTTTTGAGGATCCCATCGAGGTGGAATCAAGGGAGGCAAAGGGAAAACAAGCCATTCTGAGACACAGACCCCAAGTAAAATATCCTTTCAAACTTTTAATTCACATACGTGGGCAATCGAACTGCCCGAGGTGCTAGAATGAATGAACCCGCTAGGCATTGCTGGTTCATTTCTCGGAGATCCTACTCAAAGCGATTTCGCAAGCCTCCATCCTGAACGTTGCGAAAGGAAAAACGTCCCGCATGTCACGGTCACAGCATGGGAGAAAGCGACGTTGCTGGAACCAAGCAGCTGCGGATTGGGTGCATGTGTGTGTGTGTGTGTTTACTTTTCAGGAAGGATTTCTTGGATAGGTACAAACAAGCCCCACAGCCCACTTGGGCGGTGCCGATCTTCTTTGGGAAGCGACAGAAGCACACATGGCAAAGCTTCCAAGCAACCATCCCCAATCAAAAGGCATAGACACTGCTTAGTCATGCGGCTCCTGAATACACTGCAGGCATGTATGTTGCTGGTTTGGATAAACCAGCTCAATAGAATCTTGTGGAGATGACGGGACAATGTGCCATAGTATCTTGGCAGACACGTGCGGCATAGACAATAGGGTTGGTGCCAGTAGCTCTTGAGAAGAGGAGATGTATGCCAATTTGTATGCACACAGTGTTGAGAGTTCGACAGTACACAATGTTGAGAGGTTCAACAGTGTTCTTTCCGGACATATGCCATTCGGTGCTTGTCGGCAATGGTGCAATGGTTGCCCCGTGCATTCCAGGTACAGGTCCAACGTGTCTTGGGCAACTCACAGCAAAAGGAAGCTCAACGAGTCGACGTTTCCGGATTCGTTGGTTCGCACCAAGTGGACTTTGGGAGTCAGAGAAAGGAGTGCAACTTTCGTTCGAGAAACAAATCCGCTGCAGGGCCTCGCGAAGGCAGTGGCGCAGATGCTGGCGCCGGCCCAAAGGTACTTGGTGGGGCGGCACCGGGCCATCTACGAGGCCCTCGAGGCGCGAAAAGCAAAAATGCGCCAGAACCGAGGGCGCCGAGCCCTGCAATTGCTCAAAGTTCAGTATGTGGGGGCCAGCTTGAGGAGCTCTAGTGGCCAGAAGGTTGCTTTTGGTGAAGTAAGAAAGACACTAAAAAAGCCTAAAGTTACTGTACAGGTTCATTGGGCTATGGCCTCAACCCCGACCCGACACGGGCGGCCTTAACCCTGTGTGCTTTGGGGTATCTTTTGGGCAGACCTCAGGAGGCGAATTGCAAGGTTTTTGTGTTCAATCGGCGAAACATGAAGGCATATACCTCAAGGGAATTTCCGTACGGGGCAGACCAACCAATGGTCTCACGTATTGAGTGACTTGAAGCAAAGAGTTGGGAGATCAAGACCAGAGGATTGCAACCAAATGTAGGACCAGTGATTTCCCTGCCACTTCCAACCGCAGCGTGTTCGAGAGGGTTTTGAGCATGCTGGACAGAACACCCCATTAAAAAAGGACATCCGCCAAGGGGTCCTCAATTGGTTTCAAAGGCCACACCAGCGGTGAGGCAGACTTGGCCCGGAAGCTGGAGTGCCTGCAGGTACGAGCCACTCGGAAGGGAGTGAAAGCCCTTTCTTAAGCTCCATGTCTTATTGGTTGGTGAAATGTCATCTGTTTTGATAGAGTATAGCAAGGCGCTTTAGGACCATTCGGGGTGATAGATTGACAGATTCAGGGTAGAGTCATCGCCCAGATAGCTCATTCGAAACTTAACCAACAAGGCAGAACACTCACTCCACTGATACTGCTGAGTCCTGAGTGAATGTAGAACCGACACGCTTTCAGTTTCTGTGGACGCTCCGCAATTGGCAGATAGGCAATCCTGAACGGATGACAAGCTGGGTGTTGACGGTACCCAAGCTAAACACAAGTCCACTACCTGAGTATTGCTAACAGACTGCAACACCAAACCAGCACTGAACTATGATGGCGGCAAACTAGAGGACGAATTCTGTGAGCGAACAGACACTCGCAAACCGTTCAGGTGGTACGTATTTCTTCCGAACTTGTCATTTTTATCAAATTTCAGAATCGGAGTCCGTATCTAAAGTGAGTAGTGCGCCGTACAACTGTGGGGCATGACTTGACTGCCGTCCTAGGATGAACCATGCAATCTGGGACTTGCTGTGGCATCTCCAAATGGGTGTGTCTTTTGAAGGATCCCCTTTTTGTGGTTTTAAAGGAAACCAAAAGGACAACCACCATATTGCGGGTCCCAAAGAAGATACCCAAATACGCTCTCAGGATCTTTTGCTGCCGAAGTCCCCCTACAGCCCCTCCTTCGGGCCAAGCATTCTGCTTCCTCCTCTGGCAGTGAATCAAACACTGGTTGGAACACGCTGAACACTGCTACACGAATCCAAGCATGTAAATCATGTTTGCAGGGTCCCTGTCCAATTCAATCTGAGCCTAAGGCTAATGTTGCGAGGAAGCTGTTATTTGAACTGCTCGCGTCTCAGGAAGTGGAACCGCCACTCAAAATCCTGTGCAGCGTGGGCGAAGACATCGAGCTGGAGATAGATTGCCACCTGGAGACGCGTGCCTAGGCTCCAGCGAGGGGCAAGTCTAGCCCCCTTTTCTTGGTAGACGGAAGCCGATAAAGTTCTTCTGAACCTCCCCCAATCAAAATTCCCTTTCCCAGAAACTCACCACTCATGGCTGCCGGATGTCAATATCGGATTGTCGTCAGCCTGGTTTTTAGGGGGGACAGTTCCAAAAGCGAGGAATTTAACCAAACACCTTCCCAATCTACCACAGTCTAGCCCTTCCCAATGCGAGGCATGGCCGATGGCTCGCCAGTCTCTTTGCTGCAAATCGAGAGAGCCGGAAGCAAGTTCAGCACTTCACCCTAGCCCCCAAAGCAGCTGTGAAGTGGCAGTTAGCCATCCTTCCCTTTGTGTTAAGTGGGTGCCCTTCGTGGCAACTTCCAATGATGCGTTGGGAACTCTATTTTGAACATCCTAGAATGGTCAGAAAAATACAGCCTTTCCTGATGGAAACAAAGTTATGCGGTGGTAATCGTCAGAATATAAAGCATCCAGATGTCAACCTCTCTCTTTGCTGCTCAAAGTGGCATTAGGAACATGATGTGTTGCTCTCAAAGAGTTGATGTGTGTCGCGCAGTCCTGCCGGTTTTGAGCTGGATGGAGCACCCGTCAGTTGGGAGGTGCTTAAAGGGCTGGACAAGGCAAGCAAAGCCCAAGTTTGTTTCAAATCATATACCGACCTGGAGCCCCAATACCTTCCTGGACTCTGGCTGAGACAACGGGTCTGCTGAGTCAGGGAGAGTTCAAGGTTCCGTTCGAGTTCTGAGTGCAAATGTTCTGTGAGGCTGGGCTCAGGCCACGAAAGCGCCAAAGAAATTGGCCCGAACTTTATTTGGCCTGCCAAACACCCCGTCCTTATCCCCAAAAAGACTACTAGAACTATTCAAAAGTGGAGGTGACGAGGTGTGCTTGGGGGAGGGCGATGAAGGTTCGGGAGCAATTCTACGTCACGAGCATGTCCGTTTCATCGTTCCAGGCGGGTGCAACCACAAGTCTTGCTGACCAAGTGGTATCTTCTGTTAATCCTCCAGCCTTGCGCAAGTTCCAAGGGGGGAGAAATAGCAGATTCCTACAGGTCTATGCGCGAGGCACATTTAGACCACGGCAAACGCCTTAGAAGGCGCTGCTTAGAATACATCATCACATTCCTGCAGTATGCTTTCTCTAAGGAAGACTTGCATTTGCAGTCCTTTTCAGACCAAATCCGGCCATAGAAGCCCCCAATCCAAGTCCGACAGGCTAAGCACATCCACTTAGACTTAGGATGTTCAACCTAACGGATGTTGGTGGGGCAACTGGAGTTGAGCTTCCGTTTCACCCGTGGAGATCGTCCTAGGCTGAACATGCATGCATGCATGCATGCATATGTGCCTCTGAGCACGAGTTAGCCAAGAGACTGTGAAGGTGGCCTCATTTGTGGACATTCGGCGACTTTCCTTGGATTATTTGCGGCCTCGTTGCTGAGATTCGGCCCAAGGAGGTTCGGCTCTTGCTGGTGGCTGGGGCCAGTCTGGCGACCATTTGCGTGGAGCTGGCAAGGCTGCTGGTCCCTGCAGCGAAGGAGGGGAAGTCTACGACAGGGGTAAATGCAATCTATGTTTGTGTGTGTGTGTCTTTTTTGAGGGTACTCCTTTTTCTTGTCCTAAACGGAAAGCCAAAAGGAAAACCACCATCTTGTGGGTCCCTTAATATGTATCTTCATGCTGGTTAAATTATAGAGAGCTCATCTGGCCTGTAAGGAACTCCGGATTTGTCTTGCGGGCATGTTCCATTGAAGTGGCATCTTTGGAAGGCAATTTCCTGATTCCAACCCCTCCCAGCCGCTCCCCCTCCCCTAGCCCAACCCCTGCCAGTGTTTCCCCTTGAGTAAAAAAAAAAAGAAACGGACCCGACCGAGGAGAGTGATTGAAGGACGCACCGATCGGTGTCCGTCGCAGGAGACAGCCCATGCCCGTGAGGCAATCGAGAACTTGGGTCGGTTTCGCCTCAGTGTCCAAGTCGAAAAGCCATATGGGTCCTCAGTACCCGAAGGGAAAACCAAAAGGAGACAAACACCAAACAAAACGGAAACCACGCCAAAAAACCAAACTGGAAAGCCACTAATTGAGCCATGTTGGGGAGTGACGGGTACACCAAAGAAGGACACACATATGTCTCATATGTCTCTAGAAAATGTACCAAACTGCTTGGTTTCTTCTTGAGTTTGGGACCAAGCCACTTAACCAACAACCCTGGGTTGGCTGATGGGCTGATCCCTTTCGCGAGGGTGGCGACGTGTTGGCTAATGAAAGGATCTCAGCCAGGCAATGGTTGCCAATTCTTTAATTCTTTGCTATGGGGCGTTGATACTCCCCTTTCACAGCAGCGTGTTTGACAATGACTTAGTTCAGCCAGAGGATGTCACAGGCACATGGGACCTTGTCACTGGGTGGCTCTGCGGCGCATGAAATGGAATCGGTGTCCCGTGAAGCTTGGGCATCCGACTGTGGCTGGCTGTGCCTCAACAGCATGTTTGGGGCGCCAGACTTGCTTAGCTTGCTCGTTTGCTTGCCTTTTCGTCATTTGTTTGCTGCTTGTGTTTGTTTCTGAGTGTTTCGTGTGTGTCTGTGTGCCTGTTTGTCCTGCCCGGTTTGCTTTGGTCTCCGCTGGTCTGGCCTGGTCTATTTGTCTGTGTCTGTCTCTGTCTGTCTGTTTTCGTGTCTGTGTGTTTTTGTTTGTCAGTTTGTTTGGTTGCTTGTGTTTTGTTTTGTTTTTGCTTTCTCGTTTGTTTGCTTTCGTGGTGGGTCATTTGGTCAGTCGGTCGGTTGGTTGGTTGGCTTGTTAGTGTGTTTGTTGGTTGGCCATTGTGAAATGCGCCAGTGGGTTCAAAAGATTGTTAGCGTCCACCTTTGAAGCCTGTGTCATGCCGCCAACGTGTCTTGAGCCGCACGTCCGCAAGCTGTTTCTGGTCGAACCTGTATCCCCGGTTCCAGTGATGAGTTGGGGAGATGATTTGGGTGCGAATTCAATTTGCCGGTGGCAGGCAAGTCAGAAAGCGTGGAGCGCGACTCCCTGCATCGGCGAAGGGGATAAATCCAAGTTCAGAGCCATTCCGAGCGCTCGGCCAAGCAATTGTTTGTTGTTGTCGGCGATATGTCCAGATCCTTTTATATGAGACCGGTTTTGGATGCTATCGCTCAAGTTTGGCATAGACATGAACCCCAAGAATTTATGAAAGGCTCCCCCACGCCGTCGGCAGGCACTGACCACCTTCCTGGCCTCCGTCAGCGCGGGGGCGGGGGACCAGGTCTGCGCTGCGCTGCAGCTGCCCAGCCTCGAGGACTTGTCGAAATTGGGACCGAGAAATTGCGTCAGTTTCGATGGCGTGGGCTTCCCTTTGACCCACCCAGAAAAGAGTACCCTCAGGAAATACGCCTATACATTATTATTTATTACTCCTCCCCCTGCATTGAGGTTGGGAGTGAGAGTATGGGGGACCAGGATGGGCTAGTTGATTCCACATTAGAGATCAGATTCTCTGCGTAGGTGGGAACGTGTTTCTACTTATGCAGGAACCTCCCACTGCAGTTCAAATATTTGCCTGCTTCAGGACGGCAGAATGTGGAAGTGACATTCGGACACACGGGTTGTTCACTGTGGCGAACTTTTTGCGAAAGCATTGACAGTGATGCTCTTTGTTTGCAGGTGTACTTATCTATGCTGAGGCGCATATGCAACGTGGTGTGGCGTGTCTTTCATTTGTCAGTGTTCTTCTATATGCTAGCAGTGGATGACGCTGCCTTGCACCCTCAACCAACCGAATGGAAGATCACAAGTTCGAAGCTTTCAAACAGTGACGTTCCTTCCAATGGCTTAAGAATATTGTGTGTGTTTTCTGGTTTAGGGGGCTGAAGCAAATGGAAGGTTCAGGTGTTCACCTTCTTAATGTTGGTGTTGTCTTGTTGGCTTCGATTTTGTTGTAGTCTGCTTTTGTAAAGCCATGCCATGAGCGTCCCTCTGTTTAGAGACAGTGTGAAACCTGCTGCTTCCAAAGGATGGCCATGAGCTAAAGGAATCAGCCATCCATCCTCAACCCTTTAATATGGCGAAGGAACGAGCCACTGGCGACCTCATGCCTTTCTTGCGTGTGTCTCATAGGAATTGGAACCCCCATACGGGCTTAGGTGAGGTCCTTTGATTTCCCTTAACCATCCAAAAAAGATACCCTTAAAAAGACACCAATTTCTGGCCGACTGATGCATTCTGTCACGTCACCCAGGTGGTCAGAAATCTCCGAAGTATGCTATTTCCGTGGACAAGACTCCACGTGTTGTTTTCGGTGTTGGACCTCACCCATGAAGGTTCGTTGCTTGGCTTCCGTGTGTTTCAGATTGAACAATGATTCACACGGTTGGTCTCAAACTAGGATCTGTTGTTAACCTAGGTGCATCTAGAGGGATACGTGCTGTTAGGATGCCGGCGTCAGCCCCTGGCCTGTGCCCAAGGAGGTCGGGGGGGGGGGGGGTGGGGAAGGAATTCGTCCTTTAGGATGCCCTCGCCTTGCGAGCAAGAAACCCTAAGGCAGCCCAAAGTGGTGATTGTTTCAATTGCAACTTTTGAAGGGAAAATCTAGTGTGACAAGTTTTGGAAGGGAAGGGAGTGGCCCTATGCCAAGCAATGGAAGTGAATGACCTTGGATGTGCAAAAACGCATGCTCAAGTGTGATTGCTTGTTGCTCTGATGTCTGAGCGGAACACGGATGCTTTGGTACCATAAAATGCTGCTAGTTGCCGTTGACAAAGCTAGAGCGCAAGGCTTGAAAATGCAGCTAGAACCCTGTGAGCCTGTACACAGTTGCTGTGTCATGGCTCAGATGGCTCAGCGAGTTACACGAACCCTGACGTAGAATTCTCCGAACCCAACAAACCGCGGTGTGTCTTCAAACAGGGGACCCTCACCAAGGAAAATGAATGGGTGGTTTGCAATCAGGGCAGTCTTATAAAGTAGAACGGAAACCGACACCCACATATGTTTTGGATAGATGCAGGTGCATGTATTCATGTTTCATGTTTTGGACGCTGCGTCCCGCCCCAGATTTCAATCCGGGCCAGCCCTCAAGCCCCCATCTGTAAGATTTGTTTGGTTGAGCCTTTAAAGAAGATCGAGGATGAGTGGTCTAAATGTGTGCAATCTTCAATCGTCAATCTTCGATCCAAGGCTTTAACGCTTTTTAGCGGGGTGGTCAGGATTCAGCGTGTGGAACCCCAAAAAGAAAGGGCGAATTGTGAGCATCACAAACAGGGCATTCATGGAGTCTCCCTGCCTGGGGTTCCTTTCTTCGGAAGCTTCACGTAGAACTGAGGCGTCCCTGTCGACCCGGTATTTCTCAGAATGGGTTCTTGCATTCTTGCGATCCAACGGGCAAGCCCTGACGGCCGTGATCCGAAGCCAAGGTTCCCATTCCAGAGTGGGCGTTCTACGTGGTTTGGCCAGAACTTGCAATATCTTGGTCGAGCTGAAAGCCTTGGCCGGTTTAGTCAAGGATTGTGCTACCTGCGTAGCGAGGATCCACCCTGGGCAAATTGAACGGCGACCTCACAACAGGTTTTGGTTTATCACCGGGCCTCATGGCTCTGGTTCATTGCCCACTCCGTCGCCGTTTTGCAAAGAACACCACAAGGTGTCCGCGGACCATTCGCGGGTAATGGGAGAGTTTCCCAAAGGGGGATTGGTAGCATCCGTGTCCTGTGACCTAATTTGCTTTTCCCCACATTCTAAGAAGAGGCCCTTGTTGAAATTGTACGATTTTCTGGGATCTAACAATTTCCCAAACAAAGCCGACCAAAAGATGTTCAAGCGTAATTATCCAATTTCCCGTATGTTTGACACCTCAAAGGAAGCCAAAAGGGGGGTAATGCAACGGAGCTAAATAGTTGCAAGCAGTTTACTCCTATGACCAAATTTGATTTTGATGTAACCATTCAAGTTATGTCAGTGTCCAAGCCTGGGTACCCTCCACATAGGCCCTAAAGAAAATCCGCAGAACAATGGCGACAATTCAGGTGGCAGAGCAGCTGGAGGCGGAGCAGCGGCTTCTCGATGCCCAGGCGGTGGGGTGTTGTTGTGTTTGCTTTGTTTGTTCTGTTTTTTTTTGTTTTGTTTCCCCCGTTGCTTTTTGTTTCTTGTTTGTTGTTTGTATTTTTGTTGGGGGGGGGTTCCGCGTCGTTTGAAATTGATGTCCGTTTCTTTTTTTTGTGGTGTTGTCTTTGTTGTCGCTTGTTTGTTTCTTGTTATTCTTGTTGGTTTGGTTCCATTTCTTTTTAAATTGATGTCCGTTTATTTTGTTGTGTTACGCTGGTTTGTGGGAGTTGTTTTTTCCCCTGTTGGTGCAATGCGTGAAGCCGTTTACCGGGGAACAAATGGCTTGGAGTTGGTACCCTCGAAGGCCGCGGGGCGCCACGATGTTCGAGCGCTACCTGCCCAAAGAGCGAGGGTCGCAGATGTTTTCTGCATGGTTTAGCTTCACGGGGCAAAATATGTTCTGCCTTTGTGCGTTCAAGAAAACAAAGAAAACACCCATGTGAGCTCCCTCTTCTGGAGACTTGCGAGCCTTGTCATTTTAAATTTGATTGCAATGTTATTGGATTGACACTTGCTCTCACTGACTTGGCCGGACATGCATGTGTTGAAGCATGTTCGTATGCACACACAGCTGATCGATGCTCAATGAGTCATGTCTTCTGAAAGTCGTTGGATAGGGGCTTGGGCCATTGGGTCTGCTCTGTCTGGGGCACCGCCTGTCTGCAAAAGGAGGCGTTTCAGCATCTCGGTCAACCTGGAGTGCCCAAGCACATCTTTTGGAGGTTTGACAGTAGGGTTGTCAGTCGAAGCACGTGACAAGCCCGTGTTGAAATTCTGGTGAGGGATGTTTGGTTTGGAAAAGCCATCCGGACGGCGACTTGCTGGTCACTCTCCATGCTTTTTGAGCATAGCCCGGACCTGTAGATCTTATCTTCCTGGGGGCTCGAACTCATCGCAGGCCGAGGAGCCCGAGAAGTCGCCAGCCCCGCAAGACGTCGAGCCTTCTCTCGGGCCGGAGGCGGGGTCGAAAAGCGGGGGCCGGAAGACTCGATATGACCCGAGGGGTCGTTCAATGTTCTGGTCAACTTCCATTTGCCTATGAATATGTGTTATTTTCCCTTGTTGGTTGTAACAGGAAGTGTTCACTACTGTTTTTTTTGTTCACAGGTCTCAACCAAATAGAAGCCAATATTGCATGTGTTTGACTTTGGTCATTGATGCTAGTGCCACCCATACCGATTGCCATGCTTTAGGGAGTCTATTGCCTCGGGCTTGCGCTGAGGATCTCAGCCTAAACTCGCTCACCCCAGTACTGCTGAAGAAACCAAAGGGAGGAGTTCGAAATAGTTCACACAAATGTTAATTTCGCTGAAAGGAGGCCAAAAACCGATAGATCATCTTTATGTATTTTCCAGACCCCCGTTTTTGCCACGAGGTTCAGCAAGAGTTATTTAAACATTTTATGGAAGGGGTGTTGAATTGCTCCAAAGCTGTTTCCTCCGAATTGGAATGATGCGCTCAGGAGGTCTCTGAACCGCCTACCAAGCGGCAGCGCACAGAAACTGAGGCCCCAGAGGCGCGGTCCGTTGCTTGACCCCCGTATGAATAAAGCCCATCCTTCCAATAGGGGGTGTTCAGTGGCAGGCCCGCAGTGGGAGGGAGTTCAACCAGGAATGAATGTATGTGGTGTTCCCCTTGTTTGGTAGAGGCAAGCAAATGATGTGAGATGCAAGGCTGGTGTGTGGCTAATACCCTCCGACCCTGGAAGCAGCAGTTTCAAAGAGTTCAAAACAAAGCCTGTAATAGGCCTGAGGGACGTCCCCACCGTGAATGCCCACCAGGCACAGATTCTAGGGGCCATAATTTTGGCTTCCTTTCGGGAAAGGCAGGCAATCCTTGGGTATGCTTGTGATATAAGCACCTTTGTTGCACGATATTCCCTTCTGACCTTCGAAGAGTGCCGAGATTCTGCCACTGGCATGTTTTCATTTTGCCTGCTGCGGCTGTTGGGAGATGGTGCTTGGTCACGAAAGGACCGAATGTGACGACGTGTTTTAAAAATTGTTGTGGAGAAGACAGGTTTCGACAAGCCTTTCTTTTTGAGGGCCTCACCTTGAGATTGTTTGACCACATCCCCTGCCGCACAACTATTCCGCAGGCGCCTGACCTTCTGAAAAGGCTTCCGGAGCAATGTGTGAAAGTTTGGGTGGAATGCTAGCGGTAGTTGGCGACTACTGACACCAGTTCGATGCCAACAAATTGAGTTCTGCTCTACGGCAAAGGTAGCAGGAAATGTCCCGAGTTTATGGCAGGCGGCTGTAGTGCTCAACGTACCAGTCCTGTTGGGAGACAGCAAGGTTGCTGTACTTAATCATTGCCAAGCGGTGAATATCAACGCAGGTACGAAGGTTGCACTGTCTTTCCCCCAACACTCAATGACGTTCCAGTTCCTGTTCGACGAAGATGTTTGCCCAGGCTCCTCAAATGTTCATCACTTCGATCCCTTGTTGTTCACATGGGCGGGCACAGAGGCCAGAAGCAAACTCAGGCCTCAAGCAGGGTTGCTCGAGCCTTTGAAAGATAGCCAAACCCCAAGGGTAGGAACTGCTGGCCAAACCATCCATTGCCAAAAGGCACTTCTTTGATTGCCCCTCATTCTCAGCACCCGGTTGTGGATTCGGAATTAAGATCTTGAGTTGACAGGAGTTCTGCGGTGGTCTCTCTCCACCTTCATGCTTGTGTCGATGTTGAACCTTCAGGTTGTGAACCTGTTGGTCCAATCAATCACTCGATACACGTTACAGCCAAGGATGTTTCTCGGAACTTGAAGAACTGAGCCCAGACGAGAAAGCTCTGTGCAGTTGGCTGCTTTATCCACCTTGCCCTGTCCAGGTTGTTCATGCGGATGAAATTATTGAATAATCTCATCCGCATGAACAACCTGGACAGGGCAAGGTGGAATTATTGGAACGAACAATGTTGTCTTGAGTTCCTACAATCCTGGGACAACATCAAATGATATCACAATATTACAATCAGCATGGGGGGAGTTGCGTCAGTGACGATTCCATGGAGGGGCTACGCAAAAGATGACCTGAGCGAATGTCCAGACGGGTATTTTCCTGAAAAGGACAACCCCGCCCAACTATGCTTGATGTTCCAAAAAGGCGTCCATCTCCTTTTGGGGCTCCGGCAATTTTCTCCTGGTCCCTGAGCCAAAGTGCTCCTTTGCTTGCCTCTCCTTTGTAAATTTGTCGTCCTCCTGTGGCGGCGTTTGATCCAGGGTGTGTGTGACACCTGCATATGCTTTGCAAGTGCACGCCTCTTCCCAACAGTCACTTTTGTACAGAGGGTGCATGACCATACCTTGACTAAGCCCTCCAGTGGTAACCTGGTAACTGGACTGGGCAGTCCGATTTGTTCCTTTGGTAGATGGTTTAACGGGAAAATATAGGCAGCCTCATATTGCCCGGGATTTCAGGTTCCACCTCAACTCTAGGGAGTGAACCCCCGGCGCACCTCGTGAGGCTGCGCTGGAGTCCGTGATGGTCGAGGCATCGCGGAAGTTGGCAGCTGCTTTGGAGGACTTATCTCGAACAGTAGGGGGGTCATCATGAGGTGTAGCCCAAATACGGTTGGACAAATTATTGCACCAGCTGTAGAGCTCGCTTACATTTGTGGGGAAATCGGTATGTCAAAAAGGGGGAGTCTCCCAAAATGGCACAAGGTGAAAAAGGTACCCTCGAAGAAGCACAACCCCAAGTATCTCAGGATTGCTGAATCCAACAACGGTGCACATTCGAAAGACGCTAAAACAGCTTTGACGCCAAGAAACAGAATACCTCGTGTGACATTGCCGCTGAATCTGAAAGCTCCTGGCGTTCGTGTGTTGCTTTCTGAGGACCCAGACCTTCCGGAGATGGATACTGCGGCAGAGGGAGCAGCAGAGGCTGAGAGCACTTCATCGGCGGAGCTTCAGCTTGAGGTTGAGGCGTGGGAAACATGTGCGGAAGGATGTTGACTTGGGAGTTTCAAGGCCGGATGTATGATGTCATGTAAGTCGTAGGTATGTTTGTCATGTGCATTCGGGGTGACTTCTTGAGGGCTGACCGCCCAGCTCACATACCCCGGTACAATTTTCGCAACAGCCATTTGGCGTCTTGTATGCCCCCTCTTATTCCCCGTGGGTGCTTGCAGGGCAGACCTTTGCAGATGCTTTCGCTTCGCATAGCTGTGCGGAGTCAACTTTCAGAAAGCTTGCTGATTCAGAAGAAGAGGAAGAAGAGAAGCTTTCGGTCTTTCGGTGGAACAGTGCCAGGTAGCAGGAAGCGGCCAGTTGCATTCTCTTCCTGGGCTACAGTTGCCTCGCTGCATACCTTGTCGCTAGCCCGTTACATCGGCAACGCCAGCCTGTGTCCGCTGACCCCTTTTCTGCTGTCGCCTGGCTTGGACTGAGTAGTTGCAACTTTTCAAGCTAGAACTACGGAAGTGTACTTTGCTGTTGTGCCGGCACTTAAAAGTGGCGACTTTCGAGCTGGAGCCGCGGAAGGGTCAAACTGTTTTCCCATTACACACCTACATAGCAAGGACCTCCATTACCTACCTCCGCAACGGATTGGTGCCGAGTCGCGCGTTACATACGCTTGGAAAGTCACATCCTATGGGCTTGTCCCAGAGGATGCGCACGAGGCTCAACCCCATGGATCCGTTTTTGTTGGCTGTGGGCCAGGCCAATGAACCAACAAAGTGTGCACTTTCTCACCAAGCTGCGCGATGTTCTTTGTTATCGTCTTGCCTGGTGCCGCGTTTCAGTATCAGCTTTTGCTGTCAAGATACTGCGGTGTGCGGCATCCGCTGCTGGCGAAGAAGTCCTTCAAAAGCAGGTTAGATAAGTGGACAGCCTTCGAAATTGGAGCACTTGAAATCGATACTACGTCCGAGAACATCGCACAAGGTTATTTTAATGTGTGACGCTACTTTGGAGATAGCTTTGCCCAGGCTGGGGCGATTCAGTGCTGGATGTAAATTTAAAGGGTTGTAACAAGTTAAGTAATATTCGGAAGCCAGGCAGACCCACGAACGAAGTTGCTAGCTTGTCGCGGGGCCTGCCCGGCAAAGCCCGCAAAGACCTGCCTCCGGCTAGGCATCCCAAGAAGATCAGAAGGATGCTGATGCCCTGCTGAAGGCTCGGAGACAGTGGTCGGCTTGGGCAGATGTTGTCCCACGCAACATACTGTACCTTGATTCAGCGGCGGCTCGCCCCTTTGCCCTCTTCGAAGTTGAGCTATCTTTGCCGAATAGAGCATGACGCCTGTCTTGGAGTTCACCCGGGCAGTTGATGTCCAATTTGATTTGGAGGTAGCTGCTTCTTGATCCATAATCATGCATTCGGGCAAAGCGCTGATGGCCTTTTTTTTCTGCATGAGGGACCTAGAGGCTGCCGCATGCGACTGCCGCTGCTGCGCCTGCCGCCGTGGCCGTGCTCGCACCACAACAGAGCCAACGTGCAGCAAACCACAATCCCGTACAGGAGTCCAATGGACGTTTGCAAAGCTTTTTCGCCCCTTCTCCCCTGATCACTGTTCGGTCGGTGAGGCGTGGGCACACCCAAAGGGGACATTGCCAACAGACTTCAAAGACAAGAAGCGCTCGCATGGAGTGTGCATTTTGGAACACGCCAAGTTGGCATGTATATTCAAAGATGCCTTTGTTGCATGCTTCAGTAGCAAGTGGAAACCTGCTCCACAAAGCTTGGACAATAGATCCACCATACGAGCGGGTACAACCTTTCGTCTTGTTTGCCTTTTGCATCTGATGTAATTATTCAATAAACGAGCAGGATCAAAAGCCTTGGAGATGATCCCATTTGAGATTCATCGCGCTCGCATTTGAAGCAAATGGGCTTGCACGGTCAGTCTATCGCCCAAAACCAGCCTCGCGCGCGCAGAACGTCAGCGTCGGTGAGAAAGAAGGTGCGGAAGGTGAAGAAGGCGGCTTCAAACAAATGCGCGGGCTGGGAAGACTGGCAAACCATATAAACCCCCACTAAAACCACGGACACCCCCATATTATATGAACAAGCAGGGGTTTATTAATGTGGGGTCAACAGTAAAGACTCTTTTTTCGGAGATCCGTTCAAGGAGTGCTAACAATCGGACTCCTAAAAGCTTGCACCAAATGACAATCATATTATGTAGATCCCGGGACCGGCTTGTCAACACCGATTTCGGAGCATCCAACTTTTTGCCACTGTCCAGAAGAAAAGTGTATGGGGAAGTGTATGGGAAAGGAGCCTTGGTCGGGGAGACCCGCCCACCTTTCATACATTGTTTAGGAGGTTGGGTGGGGATGCATGAATTAATAAAGCAACAGGACTGCTGGCAGACCAAAAATCACTCCAGTCCCGCCAGTTGACTCAATGGTGTTCACCAGCTGCTTGTGGTTGCTGGTGATTGAACAACTTTGTTTTGGAATTCAACCTTCGCGCAAATCAGTAAACATTACTCCACCCGTCGTTTGAATGTCAAGTGCTTGCCAGCTGCGGGTTTATCGGAGGTGTACTTGGCATTGTTACCCTCAATGATTGAACAAAAGTAATTGCCTGCATGCCACGATGGAAAGGAGCAAGCCACCCTGTCACCTGGCAGTCTTAATCATCTATAATATTGGGGCAACCGAAGCTAGACACCACATGTTTTCACTATGTGCTTGTTTAGCTTGTTTCGTGCTGAGTGCGGATCACAATCTGCCCGAGATCTGTCCACTTTGCAGGCGCGTTTTTGCTGAGGGCATACGTGCACACAGAGCCTGTCTCGCTTAGCTTCAGGCTAAACGTAAAGAAACCGTAACTGAAGTGTAGGTCCCTGAATCGTAGAAGCCTAAACATATTTGCGCCATCGCAGAACCATTGCAAGACTTAACCAGACTAGTCACTACCTTTTTGCCCTTGGTTTCTTCGTGGGTCCATTTAGCCAGCAAAGGCCAAAATATGCCTACAAACAAGCACACAATGAGTATGCGTGATAGTTTAGTGAATTGCTTGATAGAGACAAAGCAATTGCGTACCATGACAATTAAGAAAGAATCCTCAACTAAGTTGATATGTTCAGATTTGTTTGATTTAAAACCATTATTATTTCCCGCATCCTCTGCATCCTCAGTAGCTAATGTTGGCTCCAAAATACGTGAATTATTATTACTATCTCATATCCTCATCATCTTAAATTGCCAATGTTGGTTCCAATGCATTTGGTACGTCAATCAGTATTACTATTATTATCCACATCCTCTTCACAATAGCTTCTATCAGGAGGGACTGGGCATGTCATCATGATAAGATGGTTGTCAGTTATCTCATACATCAATTCTTGCCGAAGAGGGAGCAGTCGTAAGTTGACAGACATCACAGATGTTTTAACACTCCTACTAATGCTTGAAGGTTAATGAACCAAGAAGAGCGGAGAGGTGTGAGACGATTGCCGCGCATTCAAACATTTGGATTGTCCTGGAATGGATCAAACTCAGGCTGTCTTAACAACAGGAGCCCGAATTGCATTTGGGCATGGATGTGTTCCTCTCAGACCTGTGCGAAAGATGCGGGGGTACCTGGCTCAAGATGATCGGCCAGGCGACGGCAAGGGAAAAGGCAAAGGCAAAAGCAAAGGAAAGGGCAAGGATGGAGCTGATGCCAAGGCCAGAGGGAGAGTGCTCCAGCCGAAGCCTTGTCTATCTTGCTCGTCTTGATCACATCCAGAAGATGGGAGCTCCAATATCGGGGAGCCGTTTTTGGAGGGAGCAGCAAGGAGCCAACCAATTGAGTGTATGTGTACCTTCTGCCAGGTCTGTCCCTTGAAAATGATCTGAAGGACCCAGTCAGGTAGTCCCAAACCCATCCCTGATCCAGTCAAATTCCATGGGAGGCTGGATGTTGAACCCAGGGTGAAACCATGGTTTTGACTGAAACTTCCAAAATGCATCGTAATAGGGAACCCCCAAAAAAAGACAAAGCTGGGTGTTGTTTCCTGTTGTTTCTTCCCTTTCCACCCATGTCAAGGGTGCCCTTCACCTCCCTAGGTCCCCCAGTAGTGCCCTTTGACCCTTTTTCGGGGCAGGGTTCCCCTGCTAGAATAGACTACATAAAAAAGGGAAAAAAACAACACGGGTACCCTGAATCTAACCTCTGTACTGGAGGACCTAGCCTCCAAGAATTGCCACCCTGGCAGGGTCGGAAGGCCACGGAGCTCGGGGAGGTCTTAGCGAAGCTGCCCGCAGAGCGCCGGTGACCCTCAGTGCGGTTGGGTCCGTCGGTTCCTCGCTGTTTTTTTTGTGTAACCCGAAAACCAAGAGGTGACCCAGATCGGATGTTTCATATGGCTTGTTTGTTCTAAAGGTGTTGCCTTCTGGGTATTACTTCTTGGCTGGCTTTGCTGGTTTCGATCGGCCGAACTGAACCATTTTTTGTGGCTGGTTGAATCCCCATTGATTGCTGATTTTCCCCTAGAACCAGCAAGACTCAAGGGGGCGGTCCCAACCCAAGGACAGTCAATGCCAGTTGACGGCAGTAAGTAGCCAGCTCAAGCAATTCCCAAAAACGGGGATCTCTGGAAGCCGGTTTCTTGGATTTGAGACAAGAAAGGGCAAGGGGGCCGCTTTGATCAGCGCGCCCGAAGCTTGCTGAGGCACGACTGAAGAGGGAAGTGAGGCGCCAGAGGCAGGCTTCATCTTCGCTGGCAAGTCGGGGCAAAAGCGACAAGCACTGGTGACACTGATTCAATTACAAAAAGAAAAATATTATGTATCCCAGAGGATCCAAGTACCTTCTACGGAGGTACTAGACCCCTTTTTACCCCCCAAAAGCCATCCTCAGGAAATACTTGGACCCTCTGGGTATGTATACATATATATATATATATATATACGCGTTGTTGATACGTTCGATAACGCAAAAGCTGCTGTCCACAGTTGCAGCCTTTGCCCAAAACAGGAAGGTTCAGGGGCAGAGATGGCCCGTAATTTTCTCAGACAGAATCGGGCCCATACAGGCCCAGAAAGCTCTTTATGCCCAGAAGGCTCTTCCCAGGCCATCTTGACTGAAATGCAATTATGAACTTCTCAATGCAAACTGGGAAATCAACAAATCGCTTTTTCAGCTTAAACTCATGATGTGCAACTGGATGTTGGTTGCGGTCGCCGGGTGGGTTTTCTTTCAGGGGAAAAACGGATAGGCCAGGGGTGGCGCTCTGGAATGAGAGGCAAAGAAGCGCGACTTCAAGACCAGGGTCTACGACTTGGAGGACTTGCGGGCTCGGCATCCTGGATCTTTCTGGGAAGCAAAAGGAGCAACAACAAGCTCACCACTTGGGGCTGCGGCGGTATAGGGAGCAAAAGCCCATGAAGGTCCTCCAGAATTATGTATCATGATTCTGCATATGTTTTTCCAGGACCACTTTAGTTGCCCTCAGGAGTCAGGGGTGCAATTCACCAAACCGGACTCCAGGTGACTTCAGGCACCCCCGCACAAGGTTCCAACAACCTCACCCGTGTTTCTTTATGGGGTGTCGCCATATTAAGTTGTTGAAAACCAGATGTCAGCTTAGAAAGGAAGATGAGTGTCGTCCACAAACACGGCCCACTCTTGCCTTGCCGAAGCTGAAACGCCGGAATCCCATATGCGACAAAGAATTTAAGTGTTTGTTCGGTTTTGGCCAAACATTTGTCAGCACAAGGATGCCCTACATTGAGATTGAGAGATAAAACGTGTCATTGTTCCTGAAACCAAGGTAGGTAGAGTCAACTCATTGGCATTGACGGCAAAGTCGCAGAAAGTGTCCACGAGTGATTACAAAACTGCGGCACGCGTGACCACTGAATAGTTGCCACACTGCTACTAGACGAATTGCACACAGGCTTACTTCCACATGGTTCATAGGGAATGTTGTGCGCCTCTGCGAGTGGATAGATGACAGGGTCTTGACATTGGCACCAGCTTGGATGCAGCGAGCATCCCGGCCAAATACGTAGTCCCCAAACATGTTGCTTGCACGAATTCGGCTGAGCAGCGAGAGTTCGTGAACATCACTGTTCATCACTCTTGGCCACCCAAGAAAGCAAGCCTTAGACAGAAGGGAAGCGTGCTGACCGAATATGCAGGACTCACCAAATTTGTTTGTTTGCCACAAAAACCACAGAAGCCAGAAAACGAACCCTCATGCTCCCGTGTCCTTTTAAGGGGAAGTTTGTCCGTGGCTCATATCGTTGCACGGAGATTTGCACCATTCCAGCCGGGGGGGGGGGGGGATTTTGGTTCCCAACATCTACAAGCTGAGTGTCAACAAGCATCTCAAGAGATTGATTGCGAAAGGATAGAAGAGACCGCCGCTGAGGCGCAGGGTCGGCGCAGCAAGCTACCGCCGCTGCCGCATGAGAACACGCTCTCCCAGGAGGCTTCGATCTTGAAGGACTTGGCTGACTTGGAATCAAGGAGCTTGTGGTGAATTTGGCTAAGGCTGGCATCCACGAGCTGACATGGATACATGTGTTCTTATCCCAGGGCCCTCACAACACATGTATACATATACATAATATACATATTCGTATGCACGTACATAAATATATACATAGCTGCATATGTGCGTTCCCGCAAGTCTTCCTTCAGATTATTCCGTCTTGCGAAGCCTGACTTTAAGACCACTTTGAGGTAAATGGCAAATAAGTTTCCCCCTGACATCTTTTCCAGCGTCTTGAATCTTGGAACTCGTTTACTGTAGTAGGTGACTAGCAGCTCCAGCTCAGTGGAAAAGCCGCCAATATGTCCGAGGCTCTCAGCTTGGCTCGCAATGTTGATGTTGTGCAGCCAAATGTTGCGCAGCATGGTATGAAGTTGCCCGATATTCCACAAAGCCACCGGACCAACAATCAAACAAACAATCCTACGCCCACCACGGCTGGCATGTATAAATGAACAAAAACAAGTTTTAAAACAAAAACACTGAGAAGCCGAAAACAATGCATCCCCCCAGCGTCGCTGGCAAGCGTTCTTCTTTCTGTGTTCATCCGCAATCCTCCCAGCCATGGCTGGCTCAAAGTACAGGAATATGTTTTTTGTCGCCGTGGCGCGGGGTAGAGCGGCAAGAAAATGAGCGCCACGCCACAGCGGGAGCGATTCGACCACGCGAAACTCCGCAGAGGGTCGCGCGAGCGATTTGAAAATCGCAAAAAACCACAAGTTTTCGAGGGCCGACAGCCCAAAGTCCGCAGAGGGTCGCGCGGGCAATTTGAAAATCGCAAAAAACCACGAGTGTTTGAAGGTCGACCAGCCCAAAGGCAGCAAGGGCACCGGGGCCATGGGCAAAGGCGGCCAGAGCGACCTGGAGGTTGCCTGTGAGGCGCTGCTGCTGCAGAGCCTGGCGGCCATGCGCCGCCGCTGAGGCGGCCGCTCCCTTACCTGAGGCCCAGCGTTTTTACAAGTGGCGGCCGCATTTTGCGGCCAAGGCTCCGCGGCCAAGCCTTCCAGTACCGCCCACGAGAAAAAGGAGCGAGCGTGCTTGCGGCTTGTAGCAGGATGGTAAGGCTCCCCTCGGGATTGTTGCTGTTTGGCGCGCGAAATGTTGACTGAAGCACTCAAGAAGCCAAAGCGTGGCCAAGGAAAGCAGCCTTGTCCATCAAGGCCATGGAGACCTGTGCATTGAAAGATGGCATGGTCAACGCAGAGGACATGGAGATCCAGAACGTCAACGGGGAGAGCCGGCAGCGGGACGTATGACGACGAAAGGCCGTCAAGGAGCATCCTGCTTTCAAGAAGATTCAAGAGGAGCTCCTTTCCTCCCAAGACGAGGTGCCGCATTTGAGCAAGACAAATAACATCTTGGTAGCTGAGATTCCAGAGGCGAGGAAGAAGTAGATTGAGCTGGCGGTGCGCTCGCGTGTCTATGAACAGCTTTTGAGACAGGATGACTGGGCTCACGCCTTGCAATAGCATAGCCATCGCAAAATGCACGGCAGATCAGGCGAGGCACAGATCCTGCCGCTAGCACAAGGTGAGTTAAATGCGTTGCGTCTTCAGTTGATGTTGGTGTTAAATCTGGGAATCTAAGAGACAACACGACCCACTAAATTTGCAGCTCTGATAAAACATGCACAAATGTAGCCAGCATCCTTGCAGTTGCTTTATTCACTCGCTGCGCTCATGGACTGACGATGTTTTCTTCCAGCTGCCAAAACCCATGTTGCCCCATGAACATTCTTGCAACCCACTTCGTGCGCAGCATGCACTGGGCCTTGCACCGCTTCTCTGACGCAATTCCAGCGTGATGTTCTGGACTGGAAGAGCTCTTCCGCACATTCTTTGACACAGTCTTGGCAAGCGTTTCTCAGAACAGAGGAGTTTTCCGTGCAATTCAAAGTCCTGGCCTGGAACGTTGCTTTTGATGGAATCTGTCGAGGAGGCTTTTGTTCTTTCTGAAACGCCTCTGCAAAAGCAGCCGGCTACCAAGAAGAGCTCTGACTGGCGGTGGCCCCGCACGTGCGGGGCATCCCCGAGCACGCAGGCAGAGGCCAGGGTCAGGACCAAACAAGGCTTCCTGGCTTGTTGCTGCTCCCACTGCAACTTCACAGAACCTGAAGGACACGGCGGCCCGGCAAGCGCTGCAAGGCTGACATCCACCAGCTTTGGACATCAACCACAGGGCGGCCAATGACATGGGGAAGAGGAGGCTGGCGCGCATGAGGGGGAGGTATATAGATCCCAAGCAAAGGCAACTTTGCCTCGGCAGTCCGCCTATGTGGAGACAGGCGAGGGCACACATGATCGCGACGATGTCACCAACATCCCCAGCTTCCAAGGCCAGAGCGGCATTCTCTGGAACTTCCTCAAGGGGAGTCCAACTGACAAACGTGCACCAGGCCCAGGTCGAACAGCGTGCCTTGCAAGAAAAAGAGGTCAAGGCCAATAGCGTCCGCACGCCCACCAGCCCCCCAACCGCCAGAACCTGAAAGCGAAGCGAACGCAGGCACTCAGATCTTACAGGTGCTGGCGGTGCTTGAAAGAAGTGTTCACCTCAACCTGCGTGCCCGTGCCAGTGCGGACACGCGGGCACAAACCAGCAAATTGGTGCAGCGCCTGAAACCTGAAGAGGCCGTAGATGACAGCAGGAATTTCACCTGTCGCATCACTCGTCTGCATCGCCACCATCACCTGTCCCTTCTCACGGGGGACACAGCTACCCAGCGCGACATGGCTCAGATGGCAACGCTGCTGCAAGTCCATGGCTTTTATTTTCTATATGTGTAGATAGACTTGTGCGTGAACACAAGCACACATATGCATACATAAAGATATCTACAGTTCTTTGTCGTGTACTCCTCCCGATGAGACTGGACAGAGTTAAACAACGCCTTCATCATTGAACGGAAAAGGTTGCCACAAAGTTCCTTTTCAGTTGCTGCTCGGGTTGGTGACCACGGAAAAGTCCCCAACTATGGACGCCGCCAGGCTCGGGAGCAGGTGGGCCGGTGGGGTGAAGAGTACCTCGGCATGAAACAGATGGGCACTGCAGCTTGGCAACTCCCTGTAAGGTGACGCAACGCATCCCAAAGGACACTGCAAATTGGCCCTTTGGAGCGCAAGGCGTTTCCTAGGATCTTGCCCACGAGGACAGTTGAAGAACAGTCGGACAATTCAAAAATGAACGAGCTGATTGAACAACCCCACATCGTTTCCGGTTCTGTCACCTTGCGGAGCTGGTATACAAGCTTTACATTCCCATCCAAGCATTGAAGTTAGCAAGTTCTTGAAGCAACATGAGTCATGCATAAAGAAAAAGAATTCACCAAGCAGAAATCGAAACCCCGAGAAAACAAGGCATTGGTTGTGGACAGGGCAATGGTGCAGGAAGTTGGCAAGATTAAGTCTCGCAACATTGTCTCCTATCAAAATGCGCCGCGACCCTGTGTGTTGCTTGTAGTATACGGATAACAAATTTGCAGAACATGTCTCCAAGACCTGTCATTGTTCATGGAGTTATGCTCCTATCAAAACTAGGGGAATTGTTCCACAAGGTATACTCTTAGACTGTTAGATTTTGCAGCATGTAGTCCCGTCCAAGCGCTAGTCTTAGCAATGTTGCAGATGCAGGATTTGTTGCTAAGTCTGGGTTTTTTTCGCACTGAATTGTCTGCATTCCTTGCGTCTTCCTGAGTACTGAGCCGAGGTTCGTTTACAACTACCTGAAGAGCAAGCTCGAATCTGAGGCGGTGGTATCGTTTGGCAACGGGGTCCCTTGTCAAGGGATGGGCGTGTGTTGGCTCTTTTGTTTGATCACCAAAGTGTGCAAACTGCTCTTGGAGCTCCAATGCGACCTATACTCACGAATCCATGAGAAGTTGCCAGTTCAGGCAAGTGGTAGCTATTGGTTGATCTACACCATAGTTGAACGGTTCCAACGGAAGTGTAAGTACAAGTGCGGCTGCGTCATCCTATTTCTCAGGGTGCTCAATTCATGATGAGTATGAGCATGAGCTTAGGCTTTTGACGCTTGGCCAATGCAGACCTTTCAAAAAATGTCGAAAGGCCCTTTTGTTTGTTGGCACTCCCATGCCGTCGAGAAAGAACAGTGGCCAGTAGGCCATGGATATTAGAGAAGGTGCTGTTCCCTGAACTGAGTTGGGGGGCAGGCTTGCGTATTAGGATTGCGAGCGAGCGGCTTCACGGCCAAGCAAAAGTGGCGACTTCAGTTGACAACATAAAAAGCAGTCGGCAAAGTAGTTTCAGTCAAAAGACAAGCGGAGGCATATGACATTCCCGACACAGCAGCTTAGAGGCAAAAAGGTCGGCAAAGGGGCCCTCATGGTTTGGGGTGAGCCTTGTTCTGAATAAGCGGCTGCTATTGACCACCCAACTCACCCAGTTTTGGTGTTTCCGTTGCCTGAATGACGTCTTGTGTACTTCAGCTTTTCAGGGTTCGTACATGGGAGAAGGAGAGGTGTCAATCCCTTCGGGTCGGTTTTTCTTTGCCCCCTGAGGGGCGCAGGAAGCGATGAATATCCCACAAATGTCAGCGATTTTCCCCCTCCAACAGTAATGAATCCGCCAAAACGGGACAGCCCCCTATGAATCTGTCAGAATCCAAGGTGTTTAAATCCGGGGTCAGCGCTAGGTATAAAATTTTATATGGCGCTAAGAGACCTCTGGCATGCTCGCCAGGAAGGCGGAAAGCCGCGCCCTCTGATTGGATTGCAGCGAGCCGCAAGTCAATGTTATTTGTTGAAGTTACCTGGGAATGAAAAAGCAGAAACGAGGGGGGAAGCGAAGCCTTCTCATTTTTGGAGTTGCATATCCCAGAACCCAGGTGATGGTCACGCAAATTTGGAGAATGCAGCCCTGCCCCACTGACAGGTGAATATGACCAAGTCGCCAGATTTGGGGAAGACCCTGTCATGAGTGAACAAAGTCGCAGTTTGTCACAGCCTTTCGACTAGGCGCGTGGTCTGGGTGAATGAAGTGGAGGAGCAAGACCACCCTTTCGCTGCCGGAACTTGTGTTGCATGGCCCATTTGCCAAAGCGAAAGGCAGCTCGCGCTTGACATGTGTGGCCAAGGCCTTCGATTTCCCTTTCTAGGCATTGAACCCTTCGATTGTTTTGCATGGCTACTTGTCGTGATTGAGCTGGGCTCGCGAAGAGCCCGCGAGCAGGTCGCATGCAAGAAGTCAAGTCACAAATGTTTGCGGTTGAGCTGGAGGAATCAAATTTCCCGCTCCGCATCGGAGGGATAGCACCCGTATGATTCTGAGAGATGATGTTCAGCTTCTCATGTGACTCACTTGTTGCCTGGGACACAAAAAGACACTTGTGGCAGACTGTCCTGATTCTACGGACTGACAAATCGATTGTCAAGGGCTGGCCTGACTGACACTTACTCAACAATTTGCGCAGATCTGCGAAGCGGGGGTACAAAGAATATTGTTAATCTGGTCAATTGAAGTATCTTTGTTTACGGCGCGCATGAGTCGTGTCTAAGTGAAGGCTCTCGCCCACCGCAAGCTTTGTTCGAACCAGGGAAGCATTCTCACAGGAGACCGGCTTTCAGTACGACCTGCGGATCGAGGTGGGATGTGCGAAGGGGAGGCCTGCCGGATGCAAATGGACCCCTGGAATACCCTGAGTCTGCATTTCATTTCACCGCTTGCAGACTCTGGAAATGGGAAATCTGAACCAGCTGCATCCACCCAGCTGAACCTCTGCAGCTTGCGGCATGAACAGCATTCCGTTGAACTGGGTGATCCTGGTTTAATACTTTTAGCGGTACCCTTATCGTTCTATTGGAGCTCCCCGTAGTTGAACGAACACACACGCACACACGCACACACACACACACACACACACACACACACACACACACACACACACACACACACACACACACACACACACACACACACGCACACGAGTGTGATGCTGTGTGGTATCTGAACAAGATGAACTCAAGGGCCTTTTTTTCATTTGATATCGAAAACATCGTACAGTATATCCATCCCTAGCTGAGACAATTGCCGTTCAGAGGGACACCAGAGTTGGGCCAGATTGGGGTTGAACAAGCAGCGCCTCCCAGGGGAAAGAACTGGCCAAAAGGAAGCTATTTACACCAAGGGTTGGCCGGGGTTGCCCAAAGCCAGGTCACAAGCGGGATGAAGTAAAAAATCCGTGAGCAAAACTTGTAGACAAGTTCATGATGACTGTGCACAAGCTCTAGCTTGATTCTACCAGTTGCCCAAACCCTTGAGCGTGCTTGCGGCCTGTGTGGCAGGACAGCGGCAGTGGCGAGGTGGATGCCTATGTCGAGGTGAAGACCTCGCGCGCAAAGGCATCCTGGCTGAAGTCAGTGATGTTTGGCGATCTCGGGCGTCCTTCTATGTCTCCTCGCCTTTCAATCATGGCCTGTTAAATACAACTGTTTATTGAGTTTTCCCGTGCACAGTAAAGTTTAGAGGGTGTCTGACTGTGAGAGTGCACCTTGTCTATTTTAGTTCTCCTCGTATGTCATTATATGTGTGTGGTTTGCAAATGCTTTGTCTATGGAGAGAGAGCGAGGGAGAGATAGAGTTTTTGGACTTTCACTTTGATGTTGCAGAGCGTCCAAGTGTCGCTTGCGCGGCCTGGGGAGACAGACATTGTGGTCCGGCCTGTGCGGCCAGGCAAAGTACACTTTCCCAACTGCGGCTTGGAATTCGGAAGTTTGATTTACGAAAGTAAGCGAAGTGCGCTCCCGCAGCTGGAGCTTGAAAAGTGTAGCTTTTCAGCGCAAAAGCAGTACGCGAAGTACGTATTCGCAGCTTTAGTTCGAATATCGAGCTTGCTTATCACGGCCAGCTTTTCGTAGAACTCAACGTGTTCTCCCAGCTCGCAAATCACAACGTTTCAGTTTAAAAGTAGGGTGTGCAGTACGGCCAGCTCCTTCTCAAACATGCCATCTTTCCAATATAGAAGTAGTGTATCCCATTAGATGCGCATCACTCGACCAATTCACATCACCAAAACTACATCTGCATATCTAACGTGTTTCTATACTTCCTGGCTACTCGTCGTCCGATGTGTTGTCCTTTTTGGTTTTCTCGAGGATGTCTTCAGGGCTTCAGGAAGTCAAAGTGTTCGGGCAACGACACGAAGACACCCATCTTCAGGTCTTCAAGGTGTCGGGCTAAACGCGAAGCCCGCTGGTTTGGTTCTTTGCATATCGCCGCTTTTTGGAGCCAAGGGAAACCACCAGTACCAACCATGCGGTGGTTTCCCAGATGTTTTCAAAACATCAAGTCTTTGCAACTCGTCAGGACAAGCAGCTCTTCGAGCACCTTGCCTTCCAATCCGAATCCGAGAGCGGGAAGTTGGGTATCGTCTTGATTTATCGATTGTATAAAGGCCGCTTTGGGTGTGGCTCCCTCATGTTGAGTTGAAGGCCTTTTTGGAGTGATAAAAGGGAATCCAAAAGAAGCCCACAATTTGTGGGGAATCTCCTAATTGTAGTTTGACCCAAATTTGCTTTATGATATGTGATAGAATGACTGCATCGTGCAGCACATTGCGGAACAAACGCAGTCAAGAATATTTTCCGGGCTGCTACAGCTGGCAGTCAAAGCTCGAGAAGCACTCCAAGACGCTTCTCTTTCAGCTGAGCCATTTGATCAAGTGAAAACTTGCCGTGTGCCAACTCCTGTGGGCGCATGCTTGTGTTGAGTACTTCCTTTGAGCTTCAGAAACCAAAAGCAACATTTCTGGGGTGCCTGTATTGGATTTGGTCAGAGCACACCCGCCTCATAGATCCACCTCGAAGCATGCTGGACGCCGAACAAATTGGGTCTACTCAGGTATCAATCTATAATGACGTTCTCCTTCACCAGTTTAGCAGGTCTAATTCAACCATGATACTCAGAATTTGGAGTCTCCCCCTGTGCAGCTTTGCGATCCAATGTGCGAGCTCAGGATGAGCTACCGAGAGTGGACCTTTGCACAAAAGGACGAACGGGAGTTGTGCCGATGAGCTCAATGACAAGCCTGGCGTGAGCATGTGATCGAATTAGACTTGAGTTGGCGATGCCTTGGTTCAATATGCCTGGTGGACCCCTGCAAGTGGGTGACATGTCTTGGCTGTCGTGTGAAACCCTGCTGTGTCAATGGGAGATGTGTGCAGGAGGGCGGGAAGTTCCTGATCTTCCGCGTGTCCAATGCTGGCAAGGTGCGAGTCCTTTCACTTGCGTCCTGGCACAGGAAAAAATGAACGGGGTATTGCAAGATATTTGGATCGGTGAGACGAAAAAGGGTCAAGAGGAAATCATGCAAAGGGCCTGCCTTTGATTCTCCCCTGCAACATGAGCAATTGTTGGAAAGATTCAAAGCGTGAAATGATGTAGCTCATGGCATGCCTCACGCAGGCAACATAATGACCACAACATGAGACTAGACCCAGTTGTTCAGTGGGAACATGTTCCCGTTTTGCCTGCTGGTTTCCCCACTACAAGCAGTCAACCCAAAAAGGGGTTCCCGTTTTCTACGAGGGTTACTATACAACTGGGTAAAGATATCCCAGCGTAGAACAATTTGAGAGTGACAGTCGCAGGAGGATGTTGAGCTTTGCTCCATCTCCAACCCCTTCCGCCAGTGGAAGGCGCTACGAGCTTGCGATTTGAATCGCAATGCCACATGCATTGCTCATTGCGGCAAAAGCCATGAACAATCTCTTCTATCGGCCCAAGGAGCCGTGGGTTTCAATTGGGCCCAAGGGGCCGTTCAAATGAGACGTTGCATCGGATCCATGGCCCGCATCCCTTGCAGGAGCTGAACCTTGGCCTATGCCTGACTCTGTAGGCTTTGTGCAAAAGAAATGGCCCTTGACGTTATTTCGAAACTTAAAGAGTAAAACATAATGATTGCCGTTAAGCATTGAAAGAATATCATAATACATGTATGTACGGTGAATTGTTTTTTTTATTGTGGATAATTCATATTGGAGTACAAACACATGAGAGTCGTCCGAAAGGTCCTTGTATTGAGCTATGAAGGGGAAGACCTTTTGGTCTTAGCGTTGACCTTGGCGAAAGTTTCGCGAAGGGGGTCGCGAAAGTTGTTTTTTTTTGTTTCCGCGAAAGTTTTGTGTGGCTTGCTAACAGGAAGCTGGAGTGATGAATTATGTGTATTTACCGGCAGTGCGCGCAGAGTGCCTGCAGACTAAAGTTGGTCGGAGAATGCGCAGCCTGAGGGTCGCCACAAGAATACGCCGCTGCAAAAGAAACCCCCACCCAGCAGAATCCAGCTTCTGGGAGGGTTGAAGCTGTCGGGGCACGCTGAGCGCAGCTTCCAGCCGGATTTTCGCGAATGTTTGGCGTAAGATCCGCGAAAGTTTCGCGAAAGTCGACGGACCTCTCCGCCAATTTCCCGGACATGAGGCCAACGGGTCTTCTCACGCATGGCTCACGGCTTGTGAGCTGGAGCTGCGGAAGCGCGCTTCGCGTGCTATTTTGGAACTGGAAGGCCGCGACTTTCGAGCTGGGGCTGCGGAAGTTCACCTTGTATACTACTTTCGTATTGAAAAGTTCTGATTTTCGAGGCTGAGGGAGTTTAGTTCGTGTATTAGTTTCGTTTTCAAGCCGGGCTGCGGAAGTTTACTTTAAGTATTACTTTCGCACTGAAGAGCTGCGACTTTCGAGCTGAAGCTACGAAAGTGTATTTCGTGTACTACTTTTGTGACGAATGCTCTGAAAACAGCCCCGCGAAAGTTCCGCGATGGGGTTGCAGAGTTCTTTACTTTGGCCGCCATGGCATGTTTAAAATGCTTTAAAACATGTAAGCGATAAGGGGGGGGCATGAAAAGCGATACCCTTGTTTAGGGCTAGCCGGATGGATGACGAGTTGTATGCATGGGCCCTGATTTCGGGAAGAATTCGGCCGCCGGAGAGAGACCCGAAGCGCCTTGTGCGCATTACATTTGTATTATAAAGTTGCGATTTTTGAGTTCGGGTTGTGGAAGTGTATTTTGCGTATTGGATTTATATTACAAAGTTGCGATTTGGAGTAGGAGCTATGGAAATATATTTTGTGTTTTGGATTTATATTATAGACTTGAGTAGGAATTACGGAAATATATTTTGTGTGTTGTTCTTTTGTTATAAAAGTTGTGGTGTTTGAGCTTTTAAATTGTGATGTTTAAGTGATAGGGGGGTATTAATGAACATAGTAAGCTATATAATGTATTTTGATTATCGTATGTTTGTATTTACATTAATAAATTTAGTAAATAAGTGGATTGAGTATGAGGTATTTTAAATAGGTTAAGGCGATTTTATGTAGGAGTATAGATTTAAAAGGTTTGGTAAAGTGTGTTAAAATTAAAGTGTTTTTGGGATATTGTATTGGATATTGAAATTATGATATAAAAGGTATTGATGTAATTCGGTTAAATATTAGGAATTGATTTTTTTGGAAAAATTGATATGTTATATTAATTAGGTTGTTGTTTGTTGCTGTTGATTCTCGGCATATTAAGGGAAAAATTATAAGGATCGATTTTGAAATACGTCCGCAAACTTAGGGACTACTTGTAAAATTCTTTATAACTATAAATAAGGATTAATGGACAAATTAGAAATATGGCAGCTAATTCGTGAATTATTGTTTGGGTCGGCTTGCGCCTAAGTGACTTTGAGTTGGCCCGGGAGTGTCCTTAAATTGGCCTTCCCGAAGTTGTTCTGGACCGGTCGCCGGCAGGGACCAGGATAGGCTCGTGCTAGTCTGGCGCAATGTCTTGAAACACGGGTGCTAGTTCGGAAAGCGGTCTTGGCCGGGACTAATCCCGGAACTAGTCTTAGGACCGGTCCTAGGTTCGGCGGATTTTTGTAATTAAATAATATTCGTTATAAACAGCTGCCTATTTAAAATAATCAGCTATTGAGATTTGGTTCGATCAGTCTACTTCTGCCAGCCAGTGGTTTTTTCCTGGAAAAATACTGGAAGAGGACGAAAACAGACGGAGTTAAGGGCAAGATAGATAGTGTATTTTGTGGAGGTCATCCTATGTATTTGTGTCCATTCATGTTTTCGATATGCTAGGTGAGAATAGTGGAGTCTGGAAGTGCTAGTGTATCATAGGTGTGTCTTCACATCGGACAGTTTTATGAGTGCGTGCGTCTTTTCAGTAATGATTGCGTAAGGAAAGCTTTACCAAACGTAAGCCAACAAGTTGTTGACGGAGCTTAGCTGGCAGCAGCTGCTGTTGCACAGGCGTTGCTGCCTGTGGAATCGGCGTGCATGCACGCGTATAACTATATTCCATAGCGATTCGCCAGGCTGCCAGCGTCATTTATTCAAATTCGGTAGCTGCCAAGAAAAGCCTCAAAGAGCGTACGGACTTGTGCTGCGGGCATGGGTATTAAAATAGTCATCATGAAGCTGTTTGCTTGACAAGCGATAGCGAATGATCGACGCTAGACAGCATGTTCTTGCACATAGTGGTGTTGGTTGGTATTTATTTCTTTTTGCGAAGTCAGCCCGCCACACTGCCTTGATGAACCATTGTAAATTGCAAGGGCACTTGGCTCATTGGAAAGGTGGGGCGGCAATCCGCAAAAATTAGCGTAGGTAGGGCGGTCTCGCCTTAAAATCGGCGTGGGTGGGGCGCTGCCGCCCTCGGAATCGGCGTGGGTGTGGGCACAAGATCGCGAAAATCGTCGTTGTTCGGCAGCCGAACCACACTGATTTTTGATCTGCAAGCTGTCGCAGATTGTCGGTCCAGTGATTTTTGGCTTCAGCTATTTCCAAAAAATTGGCGTTGTTCGGGTGCCAAACCACAGTGATTTTATATGACTCTTATGTACCCATATTGATTTGGAACTTCGGGCCAAAATTCAAATTCACTGTGGGTATCTAATTTTCATTTAAAATCGGCATTGTTCGGGTGCCGAACCACAGTGATTTTTGAGAGCTGCCGCAGCCCAAAAATCGGTGGACTAACAATCTTCGTCTGTTTAATTTTGCCCGCAACAAAATTTTTCGAAAGGCCAGCTTTTGCGCTTTAGAGGGTTCCGTGGCGCTGTCCTGCCCGGAGTCTTCGTCGCAGCTCTACGCGAGCGATGAGTTCCGCTGCGCCTGCATAAAGTCCAGCTATATAAGAGACACCCTCAGGAGCACCGCGCGCGGGGCAATGTCGTAACTATTTCCCTGCGTAGCCAATGTAACATTCAAGCTTGCTGGCCAGTTGGCAGGCTGACTTTTGGCTTGCTGACGCAACAAACCAGCATTTGCAAGGTGCATGCAGGAAATACATCTGAGCGAGACAGCGTCTCTCATTGGTCAATGATTACCCGCATCACAATTCCGTGCGCTTTGTGAGTTTTATTTGTTTTGGCAGTCACCCATTTTGGGTATTTGAGCCTGGCAACCTCTTAAAGCTTGTATTGATCCCCATACGCGCACGTACACACACACACATACACACACATACGCCGTCTCTGGCTTGCAGCCTGCCACCCCCTGCCAAAAAAGCACGCAGCAATGCGTATGCAATAGCAGCTGCTGCCAACGATGTTCTGTGGGCAATGTTTGCAAAATTTTCCACGCCAAGCTGTCGCTTAAGATGCACATGGCGCACGCGCCCAGGGAGTAGTCCCACGTACAGACACACTTCCAGCCTCCGCGCGCGCAAGCACGCAGGATGACCTTCATCATGGCATGTAGCCCCTAACGTATCATCCTTGCCCTTTTATCTGTCGGTGTGTTGTGCTGCCTTGCCCTTTTATCTGTCGGTGTGTTGTGCTGCTGTTCTTTCACCCTCTTCCATTTTGCTTTCTGGAGGAAAAAAGCTGGCTGCCACAAGCTGACCTCAACAGCTGATTGCTTTGAATAGACAGCCGGTTTTCGCGAATATTACTTAATTGATAAAGAAAATAAATAATTTAATAGATGTAAAAAAAAGAAATGTATGATTTGTTTTTGTGTTGATTGGAACATAAAGATGGTGGGTTGGATGTTTGGTATATGTGTATTATTTAAAGAAAGATTAAATTAATCGAATATATATATATATATATATATTTATTTATTTTACAAATAAATTTATTATTATATATTATAATAGAAATATTAAACTAATATATATATATATATATTAATATGATTTATGGGAAAAACAAATAAGAAAATTGATTTTTATTTTCTTTGGAAATTGTAATTGTTTTATATATCTTATGGATTATTTACATAATTTGTTTGGATTATCCTAACAAATGTAGGGGGTTGTATTTTTTATAGGGACCTATTTTTCGGAAATAATATTGTCGAAATATCTTTAATATTTTGATTTGGAGTATAATTATCGAAATATTCGGGATATTTCGGAATAATTGTTTGGGGTTTGATTTTTTTTTCAGATAAGAATCGAGATAAATATTTGTTTTTTTATAGTCGTTTTGGCTAAAATTGTACGTTTATTTTCCGAGAGTTTGGTGATGCGAGAAGTTGTGAGTTGTGGCCGATTCTTGTGATTAATCTTGTGTTTCTCAATATGTTGAGCGAAATTAGTTTGGCTTTGTTTGCACCCGGATGTTTTGTGGTCGAATATTTTTTCGTTTGTGTTTCTAAGGAATTATATAGGTGGATGGATTGTTTGAGGGCAATAATCCATGGATTTATTCTTATTTTGATTAGGCGATTGTGGTTTATTGATTCTTTAGTATGATCCTTATTGCGAATAGTTTTTCGTATGCGAAGAATATATATTGTTTGATTTATATAATATCATAAAATATATTGGTGTCTGAGTTTCAAAAAGTGTTTTGCCGGCACGGGATCTATAAGATTTACTCTATTCTTGGTAT